TTGCTGTTTCTCAATCTCTGTTAGGACTGTGAGCAAGGCAGAGGTGATGTCTTTGTTGCGCTGCTGCTTTTAAGTCACGTGATGATATTGAGGAAATCTGTGGACCTGCAGCACTGCAAAATTACACCACAATGAACAAGGAGTCCAAAAATGCAAAGTGGCTTATTGAGTGCCCAGGTCCTTAAAGGGTAAGGGTCAAATTTAGGGCAAGGAGAGCTACTGGTGGCCAGGAGCTTAATACTCCAACATTGTCATTGCCCATGTGGCTAGATAATTTAAAAAACAAATAAACAGGAAAGATTGGATCTATGTTTGGGTGCCAGCTGAGAGCTCACCAGGAACGTGCAAATGTGACCGTGGTGTTCATGAGAGGGTCCTGGCTCCGGGGTCCTTTGCAGTGCTGGGGATTCTGTTAATTAAGGGTTCAGAGTAATGAGAGCCCACTGTTCTCAGAGGCAGCAAACAGCCCTCCCCAAGCCCAGCATCCCCAGTGTGTCTCTGTGCAAAAGGAGAGCTGTGGAGGTGCTTCCTGGCATTTGTGCCAGCCCTTGCCGTGAGGTGCAGGCGGGGAGTGAATTACTGCTCTGCACTGGCACTGGTGCCACTCGGGTCACAGTCTGCTGGCCACAGAAGCACTGAGCAGTGCCAGGGACAGAAACACAGCCCCTGCTTGCTGAGCAGGCTCTGTCCATTCAGCAAGTGCCCATTTGTCCCTGTCTGTCCGTCTGTCACCCAGGCCAAGGATGACGCTCAAGTCTAATGAATTTCAGTGGGGTTAAAATTTACCTTCCTGTTTCTCCTTGTGGAATTGCCAGCAGTAGTGCTCTTCCTCTCCTGTCCCAGGTTACTTGATCCCAGTTGACAGCAGCTCAGACACCCCAAACGAGGGCTCTGTGCTGCTCAGCATTCCTGGAAGCCCAGCAAACCAGCACGAGTTTTCTCCCCAGGGCACTGCCAGGGATGATCCTTTCAAACCACTGGATGTCTACTGCAAACGAGCTTTTTGAACATTCTGGGTTAGAAAAGCTTGAGTGGGCTTAGGCAGCAGTTGCAGTTAAATAGGGCAGCATAAGCTAATGGCATGAGTCATGGGAAGGAAACAGAGCTGCAGTTGGGGAGCACTGCTCGGTGACAAAGAGTCTTTATATTCATAAATGCATACAGGCTGACACGAGGCTTACAGAGACGCTGTTTGAGAAGCAGAAAGCTCAGTTCTGTTCTTGACATTCTCCTGGTTCTTAAAGACTCCCATTTCCATCAGATACTTCCCTTTCCCTCCTCAATCCCTCTCCTACACCTGAGTTTTTAGGAAGACAGAGGCACAAAAAAAGGTGATCTCTGGTGCTCGTGCTCATGCTCATCCAGTGGCATTTCTGCCTCTGCACAGCATCTGTGTTCAAAGCAAGTTAAAGGACCAGTTTAGATGCTCCACCTGTGAGTGTTGCAGGTCTGTGCTAACAACTGACTGAGTCAGTAAAGGCTGTTTCTGCCCCTGCCATTTGGTCAGTGCTGAACTAGCAGGGTGCAGGATGAATGCTGTGCTCTCAGGAGGGCTTAGGCCTTTGGACACTCAACAAAAGACATACTTGATGGATGTGCTGATGGCACTGGACCCAAATCCTGGCTCTGAGGCCATGTGGTTATAATCTAAAATCAGCTGATCTAACGGGGAAATAATGTCACTGAAGCTAATGGGAACTGCACAGGGTTTTACAGTGTCAGGGAAAAAAGCATCAGCCCTGTATTGTGCAAGTTGCAACTGGTTTGAATTCCACAGGTCACTGAGGGATGGGCATTCACTGGGGCTTGTTGGGTAGGTCTGTTTGGGTGTGAGCAGCCTCTGGGAGCTGATCACGAGGCACTGGAGACAAGCACTCAAGTGTAATGTGATATAATGGAGAATCCTGCATTGCTTGCAGTGGAAACACTGCAGGATGCAGGGGAGGGGGGGACTGGGAGCAAGCTGAAAGCTCCTCTTGCTGACCCTGGTGTGTGATAAACGAGCAAGGAACCAGAATGTCAGGGAGAGGAAGTGACAACCTCAAATTATCCTCTGGGGCAATGTTCTAATCTAGGCTGAGCTGATTAGTCATCCAGAACAATTAAAATACTGCTTTATAATATTTAAGTAACTTAACCACTGCAAGGAGTGTAGGATGTGGGGAAGGCATCGCTCAGTGGGGAAGGCAGAAGTAGATACACAAAATGATGTCATTCCTCTGAAGTCTCTAGAACATACACAGGTGCACTGGGAGTGATTGTGATCAAACAAACTTCAGCTGGGGCGTGACAAAAGCTCCTTTATAGCTCCGAGGCACTCGGGCAGACACTGCTGGGCTGTGTCCCTTTCCAGTGCACAGCATCAGCCTGTTTCTGAAAATGCTCTGTTCCATTAAGTGCAATTAGAATATCTGAGCCCTTCTGAGGCCTTGATAATGGACTATTTATTTTATCTGATCAAGTATCAGGGATTAAACTCCTGGTGTTTTGCATCCAAATGAGATTTCTGCTGGAACAGAAATATTTGCATTTAGAATTGATGGTGTGAAAAACTGTGCTACAATTTGAATGATCCTTTGATGATTGGACTCTCTGGGATAGAAGTTCCAGTGTGAGTATTTTGTATGGAATCTGCAATTTCACTGAAGTATAATCCATCATTCTGTGATTGCCAATAATCTAGTCAGATCATTTGCTTGCTCTGTTCTTGTTTGACAGCTCCTGTGCAGTCGGGGAGGAATTGGGAAGCAGAGAACATGAAAGAGAATCTGTGGCTTACTGTTTAAGGAAAAGTTTCTCCACACTTGAAATGTGCCCAGCACGTGCTGGGTCAGTCAGGGAGCCACGTCACAGAAAGAACACAAAGCCCCCACTCTCTGATGGAACAAAAAGAAATAGGGCCGTTTTCTCTGGTGGTCCAAACATGAGGGATTTTAGCGGCCTCTAATGCCCTCTGATGGACAAATCCACGGAGCGATGTCCCCGGAGCCCTCGCGGCAGGGGCAAAGCCTCCAGTGTGTCAGTGCAGGAGCTGCAGCGCTGCCAGGGAGGCTCCGCAGCTTCCCTGGGGACCCTGCCCGCTCCCAGATTAAACTGCAGGGGCTTGGGCTTTAAAACTATTCAGTCACCTCTTACCAAAAACTTGGCAGATCCTTTCCTTCCTCCCTTCCTTCCTCATTTATTTAAGTTTGTTTGTTTGGCTTCTCTTAAGAGCAGCAGGGCAATATTTTTGACCCCGATCCCAGTTCTCAGAGTGACAGCGGGTCCGTCAGGAGCGGGGTCAGCCCTGTGCCTCACAGAGGAATCTCTCCAGCAGGATGGGAGGCTTCTGCACCAAGGCTGATACAGAAATTAAAAAGTATCACTCAGCATATTTGAGCCACTGCTGGAGTGTTTGAGAAATGCTGGTGAAAACGAGAAAGTGGGATGGGAGGAATGGAGAGAAGAGACCGAGGGATGAAACAGAGGCTTCAGGGAGTGGGAGGAAAAAGATAGGTTAATAAATAATTTGAGTTGAAAACACAGAGTAGAGAAAAGCAGAAGATAAAGGTGTAGGAGGGGAAAAATCCATGTTCTCTGTCAAGAAGCCAAGAGAAGCCACCTCTGAGAGCCAGTTCAGGGGCAATACCAGAGGGGCCCAGACCTCCTGGGTACGTTGTAGGTGATGTCCAGAAATTACCTGAATCTGAAAGGGTAAAATGCATCAGAAAGGAAGGAAATCCTTAAGGGTTTCTACCTTTGAAGGGGACTTGATTGGAGATGTTAACTGACAGTGTCTGTGACACAGGAGCACCTTCACTCTGGAGCCAAGGATGAAGTGTGAGAATTCCTGTGGGTTTTCCTGCAGGCCTGGCCGGATCCTCCCCTCTGTGAGCCTTGACCTTCTCATTGTTCCCTTGTCCTCTTACTCGTGCACAAAGCAAAGCACCAGAACACCTCCAAGGGAGTGATTCCAGGGGCATTTCTGGCTTTGATGGAAACCTTGGAGTCTGCAAATTGCACGTGGGGTCTCTTCCCACACAGACAAATTTCCAGCTCACCCTGCTGTGGCTCCAAACCTGCTGAGAGGGAGCAGAGCTGTGGCAGGGACTGCCTTGTGGCTCCTACCACTAGTGCCACTTTGACAGCTACAGGGGGAAATTTTTAGCAAGGACAAGCCATTGGCATCCACACCAAAGCCTGACAACACTCTGTGGAGACCTTGGGCTGTAATTTCTTATTTTAATTTACAGAGGAGCTGGAGGAAGTGCATTAAGAAGCTCTTGCTAAAATGTCTTTAAAAAATCCACCGAAATAACCCAAGCAGCATGAGGCTGTCAGGAGCTGCTAAAGAAATGGTGCCACATCTGGGAGTTATCTGGAGCCAGGGAACTTGGAGTGGTTTATCTTCCAACAATACCTTAGTGGCTGTCACAAACTGTCCCATCTCCGCCTGTGGGAGGGCAATCGGGGGGATTTCATGTACCCACAGGCAGCGGGTCGGGGTGGGCGTGGGGAGGTGAGACCCTCCCGGACACCCGCACAGGGACAGCGGGGTATGCGGGGGGTTGTGATTCCACGGGACACTTCAGGACACGGTGCCCGTGCGCGGGGCCGCTCGGGGCGGGCAGTGCCGGGGACTCCCGGCCCCTCAGACACCCCCCATCCCTTACAGACACCCCCGGCCCCTCAGACACCCCCGGCCCTCAGACACCCCCATTCCTCACAGAGACCCCCGGCCCCTCACAGAGACCCCAGCCCCTCAGAGAGACCCCGGCCCTCAGACACCCCCGGCCCCTCAGACACCACCGGCCCCTCAGACAGCCCCGGCCCCACAGACACCCCCGGCCCCTCACAGAGACCCCGGCCCCTCAGACACCCCGGCCCCTCACAGGGACAGCCCTGCCCCTCCCCATCAGGCCCCGCCCCCGCCGGCTCTGTCCCTCCTCTCGTCCCCTCGCGCGGCGCAGGCGCGGCGCAGGCGCGGAGGCGCTCGGGGTGCCGGGGCGCGGCGGCGGGGGCGGCGCGCGCTCCCGCTTCCGGTGAGGTGTCATGGCGGGCCCCGCGCGCTGAGGGCCCGAGCCGACCCCGCCCGCCGGAGCCGCCGCTGCGGGGCGGGAGGCGGGACATGGCGGCGCACAAGCCCGTGGAGTGGGTGCAGGCCGTGGTGAACCGCTTCGACGAGCAGGTAGCGGGGGGCGGCGGCGGGGCCGCGGGCAGGGCCGGGCGGGCCGGGGGCGGGCGGGGAGCGGCCCCGGGGCCGGGGCGGGCGGGGGCAGCGCCGCTCCTGCCTCCTCCGGCCGTGCCGGGGCCAGAGTCCCGCGGCCCCGCGCCCTTTGTGCCGGGCGGGCCGGGCGGGGCCGGCGCTGCCCCTCAGCAGCTGCCGCCGCACGGGGGGCCCGGCCCGGCGGCCCCGGGGCCGGCCCTGTGCCCGCAGGGGGGCCCGGCTCCCCCTGCCCGGCCCTGCCTGCTCTCCAGACAGCCCCGTGCCACTCGCGCCGCTGTGGCCCGGCGGGGAGGGGAGCCCGAGGAGCAGGTCCCGGGGGCTCCGGCGCTGCCGCGGCGGCTCTGCCCGTCCCCTCAGCACGGCGAGGGTCGGTGTGCGACCCCAGCCCCGTGCGGGCTCTGCCCGTCCCCTCAGCACGGCGAGGGTCGGCTGTGCGACCCCAGCCCCGTGCGGGCTCTGCCCGTCCCCTCAGCACGGCGAGGGTCGCTGTGCGACCCCAGCCCCGTGCGGGCTCTGCCGGGGGTTCCACACCGGGGCAGGGCGGTCCAGCCGGGGCTGTCGCAGTTGTTTCTCTTTGCAACAGTCAGTTCTGGTAGTCTGAGGAAAGATGCTCTGAATGGAAGGAAGAGGGTTTTGTTGGCCTTTCAGACTTTACATTTCCCTGATCCACCCGCAGGAACTGCTTACTGGGATTAGGGTTTGAGGTTTTGCATCCCGTGCGTGCCCTAAATGCAGGACCCCTGGATTCAGCACCAAGGGAGCTGCTGCCTGTCCTGCCCTCAGTGTTTGAGGGAGGAGGGGGACAAGGGCAGCTGCTGTCACTTGTGGGTTGTTTAGGTTTGGTTCTTCTGTGCAAGAGAAGACAAACTTATCCAGGGTTTCTGCCTCCCTTTGCACAGAAGGAAAACGTAACCATCTTTCCCCCCCAGTTTATAGATGTAGACAGGCTTGTCATTTGTTTGCTGAGAGCTTGAATTAATTTTAGGGAAGATGAAACACCAAGCTGAGAGGATGCTAATCTGTATTGAAAACAGGGGAAATCAGTGCTAGCCAGTCTGCTGTGGCCTGCTCTTGTTTATTGTTAGGAATGCTGCTTTAACCAAAATCTGCTTTTGTGTGTCCAGTTCTGTGGGCCCAGAATGCAGTTTGTGAATTGAGCAGTGCCTGCCCAGGGAGCAGATCCTGGGGTTGTGCCAGTGCTGCCCTGGCTCAGCTCTGAGCCCACGCCTGCTGGGGGCTCCCCTGGGGCTGCAGAGGCTGCTGCTGGTACCTGTGGGGCCAGCCCCCAGGGAGAACAGAGCACACAGAGGAAGGCTTTGGGCAGAGTCTGTGCTGGACTGCTTGTTGTATTTTTCAAAACTTGGGGTCATCAGGGGAGGCTTAGGCTGCAGGAGCACAAAGAGCCTGGAAATCAGTACGTTTCCCTGTGATTTCAGACACAGTCATGTCTTTGTAAAATAAAATGATCTCTTTTTTTCCTGTGGAAATGCTCATTTCCAGTTTTATGTGCTGTATTTTTATAGTAGTTTGTGTTTTGGGCTGAAATCACAGGGAGCTCAGCTGGGGGAGCCTGACTGCCTGAACCATTTACATCTGGACTGGTGTAAAACTATCAGTATTGATCCTGTATAAACTTGTGACAACTGAAGTGATTAAGGTGGTGGAGTCGCCGTCCCTGGAGGTGTGCAGGGAACAAGTGGCCGTGGCACTCAGTGCTCTGGGCTGGGTGACAAGGTGGGGATGGGGCAGAGGTTGGACTCGATGATCTCAGAGGTCTTTTCCAACCTCAGTGATTCTGTTATTCTGATGTGCTTCCAAGAAAGAATCCCTTCATTCTGTGGGTTATGGTTTGGGCTCCTCATTTGTAGTTCCTGAGGTAAGATGGCTTTCAGCTAAGAAAGTTTTTGTAAAAACTGAAAGTCAGTAGGAATGTTCCATTCTTCCTTTAGTTAAGTGGCATTAAATTAAATCAAATATTCCCTCCTCCTGTTGATTTTTCTCTGCAGCATTTGAAGTCTGTGCAGAATCAGAGCCCTGCCAAAGCAGTGGCTGCAGGTGCCGGTGCTGTGGGTGGGAAATCCCCAGGATAAGGGGGTGTGTGGTGAGGTGTGTCCCGTGCTGTGCTCCTGGGGATGCCCCTGTGCTGGGCACCAGGGACAGCTCTTCCCACAGCTGCTGTGATGAGGCACATTCCCACAGGACTGCTGGGCCGGGCTGGAGCGGGGCTCTGGAGCAGCTGTGATGGGATTGGGAGCCAGCCTGCAGTGTTTCTGGAGTGTGCTCTGCACAGCTGCTGCCCGAAGGGCAGGGCCCAACGCACCCCCTGTACCTGAGGGCGGGAAGGAGCTCTCAAATCATCCCGGGGATTCCATGGTCCTTCCTCGTTGAACCTGGAGTTTGTGTTCACAGCCCCAGCTTCCAGTGAACCTTCTGAAAAGGTTTGATTTGTAGAGCAACCATTATAAAAACTCTTCAGAATTCCGTGTTCTCGGGCAGGCTGGGCTGGGAGGTTCTTGTCCTGGATAATGCCTCTTTAGCAGGTGTGCTTAAGGAGGGGAGGGAGATGCCTGAGGGATTTGTGTCTGGTTCTGGCAGTGCTGGTGCTGTGGGGATTTTCTGTCACCAGTACATGTGTGTGTTCTGGTGTGCTGAAGTTCCAAGAAATTGTTTGGAAGGATGAGCCTAAGTGGATTTCGGGGCTGTTAAGGACAGCACCAGGGATTTTTCCCTGGGTGTTCCGTTGTTGCTTTCTCCAGTCGGAATCAAAGGCACAAGGCTCAGGTGCTGACACCTCAAGGTGCTTAGTGAAAATGAGGAGAGAATTTCCTTCCCTGACAGGAGTCCCCTGGGATGTGTCTCCCACCTTCCCCTCTCCAGGGGGTTGTGGTGGGGTTGGGGTGGTGGGGGCAGCGAGAGGGCTCTGTGTGCTGCCACCTCAGGGAGGTTGGATCTTGGATGCGCTGCCTGTGCCTGGGATTGGCGGGACAGTGATTTCAGCAGTGTCATTCCAGATCCTGCAGCACACAAGGGTTATCTGTCAGCCTCTGAATTCTTAATGTTCTTCCAAAGTTGTGTCTTACACAAAAAAATTGAAAAAGTAACTTTGTTTGAAGTGAGAAAGCACTTCGACTTGCTCTATAACTTTTGAAAATAAAAACATTAAATACAGATTTTTTACTAAATAGAGATGATCTAACTTTGTGCTCATTTATTACAAGTTTTAAAGCAAACTCCATGGCTCAGTGTAGCCCTCCCAAGAGCCTGAGTGTGTGTCTCATGGACACTCAGGCCTGGTAGTGGTGGTAGTGTCAAACCAGTGTCCACGGGCATTTAGCAAGAGATTGGACCTTCCTGCAGACTTGAGGATACCTGAAACAGGTGCTCATCACTTCACAGACAGGAAAACCACCCATTTCTCTTAATAATTACCATCTCTAACCAAGGGAGGGTTCCTTAATGGAACATTTTTGGGTGACAGTGCATCAGTCTCTAAACTGAGAGTGGTGTGACAGATGAGCCATCAGGTACCACAGTGTTTGCACTTCTCAACAGCTCTGCATTTTCTGGTGGCACTTACTGAAGTCTTTCAAAGCCAGATTTATAAATTGCCTCTAAAGAGTGCCCAGTAAATCTCTTTTCTCTTTTGTCCCCTCTCAAAGATTTAGACTTTGGTAGCTGGGAAGGCTGCAGATTTCATCTCTTTTGGTTGTCCATGCATGACATAAGGGCAGTTTTAGACCCACGTGCTCCTGTTTGACACCATGAGGAGCGGCCAGGCTGGATTAGGGAGGGATAGGGGCTGTGGAGCCCCCCCAGGGGGGTTGTACTGCCCTTGCTCCCTATTTCAGAGTGAAAAGAGCTGGAGCAGTGACTGTCCCTTTGCTCACCTGGGCTGAGCTCAGGGTTTGAAGCCCCAGTTATATTTAAGCTCTGTGCTTTAATTTCTGTTTCTAATTCAAATAGCTCTACAGGAAACTATTTGTCAGTATTTCTTTTTTCTAAAATAAAATCAAAGGCAATGAAAGTAAAATTTCATCTCCCCCCCCCCCTTGAATGTTTAGATTACTAGGTATTTGTAGAGGACTGAAGTAGTTTCTCTTTGGTCACTCAGCACTGGCACTGCCTTCTGTGAGGGGAAATAAAATGCTTCAGCGTCAGAGTGCACAAAGGAAATGGCTGAGAAATAAAAACCCCAAAATAACAGTGCTAATATTTCCTTTTTATATAGTTTCCTATTTTAAAAGATAGTATAAAAAGCAGTGTTACTTCTAGATGACCTTGTTGTAGTGGCTGTTGTGGCAGGAAGCTCCAGAAGTGTGTAATGTGATGTTTCTTTGGCATGGGAGCACACAGAACTAGATCTATGACACAATTTCTTTGAGAGGCTCTTCTGAAGTGTTTTAGCACTCAGTGGTATTGAGCTTTGCTGCTGCTGTCAGCACAGAGACTTGAAAATTCAAATAAAAAGTACTAGTAATGGTGAAATTTCAAATTAAATATATCTGTCATCCACCAATGACTTCCAAAAACATACTGTAAAATAACATCTGACAGTGAAAACAAAGCTTGAGTCATAAATGGTGTTTATTCTGCTTTTCCGGGGTTAAGATGAGCACATGGAAGCGCCTTGTGCTGCTGTAAATCAGCGCTGGGAAGGCTCTGGGATCACAGATCTCAGGGGGAATTACCTGGATTGCCCTGTGGAACTTGATGCTGTAGGGGGGTGTGCAGGTGAGGGTGTCAGACCTTCTCCTGGAGGAACGTCCCTCAGGGTGTTCCTGGGGAGCCCTGTGGGTGTCCAGAGCCCCCTTCCTCAGGGACCTGCCAGTGCTCCATGGGCTTTGGGCTCCTCTGACCTGCCACTTGCCTCTGTCTGAATGAACAGTCCCTCTCTCAGGAGGGCCAGCCACTCTCCACAGTGACCCTAGGCCCTGGTGCCAAAAGAGTTCAGCTTAAACCCAACCAAAGCTCAGCTTGTACAGGGAGGAATCCCCCCTGAGCATCAGCGTGGTGGAGACTCATTTCCCAGCTGGCTGTTGAGCAGAAGTGTTCCAGGTTGGGGTTCTTTGATTCATCTTGCATTTTAAACATGAGCATTTCAACTTTTCCCATCGAAGCCAGGGATGTCAGGTGGCTGTAGAGGTGTTGGGGACTGCTGGTGGGGAGGGTGCCCTCCCCAGAGCCCCCAACCTGGGAGGTGGCTCTTTAAGCACTTTGCAGATGTAAAACTGATTGTAATTCCTTGGAGTCCTTCTTTTACAACCTCTGTTAAGTTTTCTCTCTCTGATAATCTTCCCAATGCACAAATGCTACGTGGTGGCATTTCCATTGAGCTATTGGTGTCTTTCAGAGTACAGGTTTAGCCACAGTTGCAGTCAAAATTTGTTAAAACTTGTAGTAGCAATTGAAGTTCCTGTGAACAGGCACTCGCAGGGTCACACGTTAAAAGGCACACACGCTGCTGCCTTGGTGCTTTGAGCACCCTCAGTCCTCAGGGGATGTTCTTGAAGAGCAGCCTCTCCCACGTTCTGGTGGCATTTGAGTGGGCAGGGGCAGTGGGTGGGTGCCTGGGAAGTGACTTGTTTGTGACCCCTGAAGAATTTGGGTGCAGCAGGAGAAGAAGTGCCCAGTGTTCACACAGCGAGAGGAACATTTCGGGCTTGTGCCGTTGCCCTGAATCTTCTCCTGCCTGGAAAAGGTCTGGGTTGTACCCCTGGGTGCTGGGCAGGGAGCGCAGGGCTCGCAGTGCTTCAAGTGTGTGGGAAGCTGAGATGCATCTGCTGGCAGTGTTTGGGGGGGACCCCTAAGTTACCCACGGCCTTGGGGGCTGCAGGGTCAGTGCCTCGTGGCCAGCTGTGTCCTGTGCCAGAGCAGGGGGCACACGTGGAGCCACTGCTGCTGCCTTCCAGCCTGCTCTGGGAGCTCCTGGGATTTGGCCTCCCCTCAGGGCCCAACATGCTTTTTTTTTTTTTCCTTACATGTATTAGCCTTGGAGATTTTTGGTCTCTAATGAGCTAATTTTTGAAATAAACAATCATTTCCTAGAATTCTGTCTTACATTTTTCTGTTCTTTTTGATTGCTTTGACATTCAGTTTGTAGAAAATTTATCTCAAAATAGAGGTTTAGTTTCATTTCAGAGAAAGGAAAGGGTGAACTTCAGCATTTTGTTTTGTAGATTACTAATGGAAAGATGAATGTAGAGAAAATGAAATAACGTGTTTGCAGTTGTCTCTTGTAGAATGTTTTTCAAGGTTGTTTCTGGTGCATCAAAAGTTTTTAACCCATCTTTAAAGCTCTGAAAAAGCTTATAACAGTTTTCTCTTGTAGCTTCCAATCAAGGTTTGCCAGCAGAATACCCACACCAAAGTCAGTACTGAGCACAACAAGGAATGTCTCATCAACATTTCCAAGTACAAGTTTTCCCTGGTCATCAGTGGTCTCACTACTATCTTAAAAAATGTTAATAACATGGTAAGTTTTCTAATTTTGCATTGTTTGGTGATTTTTTTCAAGTGGTTGCTCTTTATTTGTGTTGTACAATCTGCAGACAATTACTTGAAATTTAGTCAAATTGTTGCTTGCTTGTGCACTCAGTTTCTTGTGTTCTGAAGTTCACCAGCAGCACCTCTTGGAGCCACGGAAAGGCAGTGGGAGTGGGGCAGAGAAATCCAGAGGCAGGTGGTGGTTGAGGGGAACCCTGTGTTGGCTGTGGCTCTGCAGCCAGGCAGGTGTGAGGTTTGAGCTGGGGGGCACAGAAGGTCCCTGACACCACCCTGGGGCTCTGAGCAGTGCTGGGACACGAGGGGGGCCGTGCTGGGACACCAGGGGGGCCGTGCTGGGACACCAGGGGGGCCGTGCTGGGACACCAGGGGGCCGTGCTGCCTGGGGAGGGGTTTGGGATTTGCCTTGGAAGGTGCTTCAGGTGTGCAGGGAAGCACTGCAAGGAGTGTCTGAGGGGCAGGAGAGCAGCAGGGCAAAGGAGCTGCTGAGAAGGATCCAGCTGGATGTTTTGTTTTTCCAATGGAAAGCCTGGGTTTGGATTTGTCACGAGAAAAGTTTATGGTGAAATACATAATTGGAAAGGAGTCCCAGGAATTGATACCAAAACAGGTTCTGAGAAGGTGTCACCTGCATTTCTGAGCAGCTGCTGGGCCTGGTGGAGGTGAGGGGCTGCCTCCAGTCTTACCTTGCAAGGACTGTTTGTTCCTTATTACATTTAGCATGGCAGGCTGGACATTTCTTTAGTGATAAGGTTTCAATTCCTGTTTTAATCTGATTATTGCTACCTTTATTTCTAAACTCACAACCAGAGCAGTAATGGAGCCATAGCTTACTTGGCCACTTTGCTACTTTACTTTAGTGCACTGCAAGTCAAAGTTCTGTGTCTCAGATGAATCCATATCCTTTCTACTTCTAGAGAATATTTGGAGAAACTGCTGAAAAGAATTTATATCTATCTCAGCTGATTATCTTGGATACACTGGAAAAATGTCTGGCAGGGGTGAGTAGGCTTGCATAAGCAATTGCTAAGTTGGAATCAAATGGGTTGGAGAGTACAAGTCAAATGCTTTTGTATCTGTTGTTACTGGTACTAAAGTTAAAACTGATCAGATCTGTAGCCAAGTAGGATTAATGCCATTTAAAAAATAATAGAGCTTCCTATAAACATGTGTAGTTGATATAATTGATACATTAAAGATTTGGAGGGTGCTTCTTTTTGCCTAAAATTAGTGACGCTTTTTCAGCTAAATACATTCAAGTAAACTTTTGATATTGCCCGTTCCACTACTCAACAAATTTGTAGAGTTATAAATAATGTTTTTTTGTTTAATAACTTGATAAAACGAATTGCAGACAACTGGGCAACTCTACTCAGTCGTGTATGAACTGGAGTACGGGGAGACACAAGCCCAAACCAAGGATTAGAGGTGGTTATGAAGCTTCACTAGATTCTTGTAGTGTTTGAATGTTCATCGTGTATCCTGCTCAGTATTTTCTGAACAGATACATCAAAACATTTTCATCCCACCATTGAAACAGGAAAATTAACGGGGTAGTAAATCATGTTCAAAGTAGCAGATAATTCAGGACAAGTATTTCGGTTTCGTGCTGCTGAGTTCACTGCAGACAGCGCTGAGTTTTCTTTACATTTCTTGAAACTTTCATTTGTTGAAATAATTTTCCGTGTACTTTTCTATGCAGCAGAACCTTTGCTGCCACTGCTGTGCAGATGACTTTTGCAGGTGTTTCCTAGATGACAGGAGCTGGCCTTGCCCAAGGCTGAGGTCTGCAGGCAGAGCACTTTGCTGCTCCCTCTGGGCTGAGAGCGGTGCTGGCTGGACACTGGCTGTGCTGAGCTGGGGCTGCACAGCCAGGCTGCTCTGGGAGCAGGACTTGCAGGGCTTTGTTGCTCTGACAAGAAAGGGATTTGTTTTTTAAAGCTGAATTCCTGGATGTATGTCCTGGAATCAACTGAACTCTTTACTGTTTCCCTGCAACAGTTTTTGAAGGTTCTTTCTGTGTAAGGTAACGACCTTACTATGGTTAGATCTGTGAAGTGACACATCTTACAGTTCTAAACCATATGAATAGTTGTGGATTCTTCTAAAATCACAAAAGATCCAGATAAATACATTTTCCAGAATAATTTCCAGCTGTGGTGAACACCTCTTTTGGCACTTTTTATCTTTGATGCAGTGAGTCAGAGAAACCCGTTTTAACTGTAGAAGTTAATTATTTTAAAATATTTCTTCTGTTTGTATTGTTTGTAACATGAGTGGTTTTCCTGATAGTTGATGATATTTAAACAGCCTGAATTTGTGCTGAATATTTCTTGCTTTGTCAGTTCAAATGAGGGCAGTTTGAGGCAGAGTATGTTAAATAAGAGTGAGCCAAAGCTCTGTACAAAGCGTGTTGTGTTCTCTGGTATCTTCAGATGTATTTCTTGCTTAATGTTTCATCAAATTCTCATGGCAACAGGACTCAGGTCAACTAAGTGGGAGTCTCTGAAACTTCCCAATTCCCTATGGAAAATTCATTGGTAGAATTTTAGAAAACTTTAATGCTGACCCTTCTGTTAAAACTTGCTCTTAGTAGAGCAAAGTTTCACTTTGAATTCCTTTGTAAATAGTTTCCTTATGTCTCACTGTGCACACTGGCAAAAATGAGATTTTTCTTTTGCGGGGAAGTTAAGCCATTTTTGACTCATATAGAGAACCCCCTGGCAAGAACCAGGGAGAAGCACCTCTTTTTTGGTTCATTTTTCGGTATAAAATACTTGATGTCAAAATGCAGTGACCGAGGTCTCACCCAGCAGAGGTGTGAGGGTGGGTCTCTGCCCTTTGGCCTTCATGCTCTGCCGATCCTTGACATGGAGCAGCTTTCAGGGTGCCTTCATCAGAACAACGCCTGTGTTCCTGCAAACAGTGGGATGTTTTGCTTGATGCTCGGTGATGCTGATCGGCCTCATGTCCTGCCTGTTTTGGAGACTGAGTGGGGAGTGTGGGGTGGTTTGGGTGTGATGGCTGAGGCTGAGAGGGAGAGCAGCCGTTCTGTGCAGCCCCTGTGCCTTGGGCAGCGGAGCCTGGGGTGGATCGGAAGGGCAGGTCCAGGCCCTGGGCCTGCTCGTGGCAGATGCTGCAGTTTTCAGCCTCCAAACCAGAATTCAGTAAAGCAGTTGTTTATTTTTAGCAACCCAAGGACACCATGCGGCTGGACGAGACCATGCTGGTGAAGCAGCTGCTGCCCGAGATCTGCCACTTCATCCACACGTACCGCGAGGGGAACCAGCACGCGGCCGAGCTGCGCAGCTCCGCCTCGGGGGTGCTCTTCTCCCTCAGCTGCAACAACTTCAACGCCGTCTTCAGCCGCATCTCCACCAGGTACGGGCCGAGAGCACCTCCTGCGCTCTGCCTGCGCCTTCCTGCCCACACCTAAATGCTGTTCAACCAGGTCCTCCTGGGGGGCTCCCTCAGCCTTTCCCCTGAGCTCCAGGTTACACACGGCCTGTTCCGTGCCCTCCTGGGTTACTGCTGGCAGCTTTCCCGTGCGCTGCGTTCATTGCTTTTTTAATCTGCTTTCAAAAACACGAGTGAAAGTAATGCTGAGTAAGTTGAGTAAGTTCTTCTGGGTGCAAGGTGTCTTGGAAATAAAAGGATGCTGAAGCTAATGGGTTGTATCCCTCTACTTACAGAATTAGAATGAAAACTGGAGATTGTCCACAGCTCTGCTGGAGCCCCCAGGCTGTTTTCCTGTATAATTTTCCCAGCTGGGAGGCTTTTATGTTAAATCTGTCTTATGCCTGAAGGGGACAAACAGCTGGGCTGTTTGTTAGTTGTGGGAAAAGACCCATTTGTCTTCTGACTGACTTGAGTTTCACAGCACATTTACTGTAAAAATAACTGGGTTTTCTGCTTTTCTAAGTGAGAAGGGAGACAAGCACAACATTTCCATCTATTCTTTGCTGGTTTTGCCCTGTTCCAGATCCTTCTGATGCTTCAGCATTTGTCAGTCCACTAGAGTGGTGTTAAGCTTTTTATTCCTGAAATACTTTGAAGTTTCTTGAAAGGTGCTTGAAGCAGCTTAGCTCTTGTCACACAGTATAACAGCTGAGATCATGCTGTACTAGAAGTGGAGCTTGGGCAGCCTTATGTGGTCACATAGCAGCGAGTGAGCCAAATTAATTGAAATGAAGATTTATATTTACCTTATATATTTATCTATTCCTTTGGAAAATATTTGCATTTTAGAAATCACTTTAAAATGATTGAGTAATTTTAGTTCTGAAGTATTTTCAAAGTTTTTACAGAGCCTTTAATATCTTTTACTTCAAGATAGACTTGGCAGCTAGCATGAAGGATGTGGTTTTACTCAATAGGTTGATTGTGTTTTGTTGCTTATGGAAATGGAAACAATTTCTTTTGCTCCCTTTATAGAAAGTGTTTTTCAGTTAAAATATTTTGAGTCTTTGAATCTAGTCCATGGATCTGTATGTATTTGTAGCATGGTTTGTTCCCAAGCTCCAAAGCCCTCCTTACATCCCTTTGAGCCAGAGCAGAGTGCTTTCCCTAAGCTGTTTTCCCCTTCAGATGCTAGCACAGCAATAGTTAAGTGTTTGACCAGCTCTCTGGTCTCCACAGGGGTCACTCCACCAGTCAGCACTGCTGATCTCTGACCTGGGTTTCCTGTTTAGGAATATTTCTGGGCCGTGCACAGCAGCTGGGGGCGTTTTGGCATAGAAAGCACAGCAATGGGGACCTTCCCATTCCCAGTGAGGGCTGTTAAGTTCCCTGGTGTTGAAGAAATGAAGAACAGCTTTTGTGTCTAGTCCTAGAAATCACATCTGCAGCTTGGAAGCAGCCCTGGTGTCTGAGTTTGGGGGAACATATGCTGTAGCTGTTAGTGGCCTGGTGTCTGTGAGGTGTTGAGTAAATTATCTGATACACAAGTGTGAAAAGGTGCCATTGTGTTTAAACTGGTGTGATTAAACTTCATCCTGTTTGTTCAGGCCACAGAACTGTGGGCCAAGAATGGTTGCATCTCAGTCCAGGGATACCAAGTACCATCAGTCTCTGCTTTACTCTGAGAACTTGGCTGGGGCAGGACTTGCTGCTAAGGAGCAGTAGCCTAAAGGTGTCATGATGCCATTAATCCAGTGTTTAGTTGAAAAGATGACCAGGTAACTGCTACAGTAGGGTGGGTAGCAGAAGGATTTAGGCAAATCTTGGGCACAAACACCAGAAGGTATCGGCATTTTGTGAGACTCACCACTGGTATTTCTGGCTCCATTTTCGGTATGAGGCTGTAATAAGACTATAATATTAACTCTTGATCATGCAAGATCCATCTTTTATTTCTAAACCTGGAAAAGTTTATCTGAGGAGATAGTAATTTGAGGAGATCATAGAATACTCCCTGCTATTGAAGTGTATAGAATCCTAGGTGTGTTCTTACCCGTCTGGTCCATGATATGATGGATTTACTTTGCTCTGCTTGTTTTTAGATTGCAGGAACTGACTGTTTGCTCAGAAGATAACGCTGATGTTCACGATATTGAACTTTTACAGTACATCAGTGTGGATTGTTCCAAACTCAAGCGACTCTTACAGGGTATGATTGGAGCCTCTGTTTTGAAATACTTCTATTTCAGTCTGGTTAGTCAGAGATGACAGTGCAAATGGTATATCTCTTATTGCCCCTGTTTTACTGCAAACAGTCATATACTTACCAAAATATTTTAAAATGGTTAAGTAGCATAAAAACATTGGTTTGAAAACTGCTTTGCACTTCAAATGTCTTTTATAACCTGTGTTGCTTTTTAGATCCAAGTTTCTGTTCTAAGTGCAGAAATGTTCTGTCTTTACAGAGACTGTATTCAAGTTTAAAGCCCTTAAGAAAGTAGCTCAGTTAGCTGTTATCAACAGTCTGGAAAAGGTAAGGGTTTCAATGCTTCTGTTTCACTGCTTATTTGCAGACTTCCTCGAGTTTAGGAATAGTTGCAGTTCAATCATTTATTGTAAAATATAAGTGGTTGCCTCCCTTTGGTGCGAATATGTTTTGTAAGAAATTTTGTGTGGTTAGGATTAAGAATAAAATCTCACTTGATTTAAATACATAATTCAGAAAAACTGTTTGGAAGCTCTGGAATGTTAAGGTGTTTTGCATTATCTGCAGGCATTTTGGAACTGGGTGGAAAACTATCCTGATGAATTCACAAAGCTGTACCAAACACCCCAGACCGACATGGCTGGTAAGGCATAACACATGGCAGTGTTCAGAGGCTGGTCTCTCAGACATCCCCAAAATGCATTCACTTGCATTCTGTGCCCTCTTTGCTCCTTGTGCAGCCTACAGATAAACAAACTTCTGTTACCTTTGTCAGAGCAGGTAAGGTTATGTTGCTTCTTTCCTCATTCCCCTGTTAGAGATTAATATTGTGCTTCCCAGCACAAAGAAAGAAACCCCAAAAGATGAAGACTCTTTGAATGTATATTTTTCATCTTGATACAGGATGCAAACTTAGAGAACATCACCTTTATTTTGTTTCTAGTGACAAAGAAAGGAAAATTTATATTTTCAGATAAACCATGTCTTTAACTGGGTTGAGACCATTCCCAGTAGTATGCCAGTAATGTGCAAAACAGAACCTTTCTTCTGTGTAGTTGGAACTACCCCTCTGCTCTTTTATACCTGTTCTTCATCTCTGTAATTAAAACTGGTATTGAACTTGGGCTATGTTTTCTGCAGATTGTGCTGAGAAGTTGTTTGACTTGGTGGATGGCTTTGCTGAAAGCACAAAGCGTAAAGCAGCAGTGTGGCCACTGCAGATCATCCTGCTGGTCCTGTGTCCAGAGATAATCCAAGATATAGCAAAGGACGTGGTAGAGGAGACCAAAATGAACAAGGTAAGACAGGTGTCTGAATGCTGCCTCTGGTTTCTGGAGGATGATTGCTTTTGCTGATTCTGTATTTCAAGTGTATTTAATTTTGTCTTTCCTGCCTAAACATGAGCCAGCAGTGTGCCCAGTGTCTGGTTATAACTGTTCCTGGTTTGAATTCTGCAGAAGCTGTTCCTGGACAACCTCAGGAAGGCCCTTGCAGGCCACAGTGGGAGCAGGCAGCTGACTGAAAGTGCTGCTATTGCTTGTGTTAAACTGTGCAAAGCATCTACCTACATCAACTGGGAAGATAATTCTGTCATTTTCCTGCTGGTGCAGTCCATGGTACTAGATCTTAAGGTAAAAATGTCTGTTTCCTAATTGCAATGAGAAATTTTAGTGAAATAAACTTTGAATTTCTCTTTAATTGATTACCAGTGTTTATCACTGGAAAGTTTTATATTGAAAGTAGACAGGAATAATCATGGTATCTGATTTACATGTTTGCATTTTTCTGAAATAAATAGAACCTGCTGTTTAACCCAAGCAAGCCTTTCTCAAGAGGCAATCAGAATGCAGATGTAGACCTGATGATTGACTGCTTGGTTTCCTGCTTCCGCATAAATCCTCACAACAACCAGCACTTTAAGGTGAGAACAGCACTTACTGGTAAGGAATGCTCTGCATGCCATTGACGACCTGTCAGTTATAAAAGCTGTGCTAGCAGCAGCTGGAAGCTCATAAATGAGTTCAGCTGTATAAATATCCCTTCGTAATCAATCCCTGCGTGTTATTATAAAACTTTTCTCAGCTGATTAGGCCTCCCTTGTTCAGATTTGACAGCTTTGTCAATTTAATAAAAAGGCTTCAAGATGTTATTCAATGTGATAAGAAAGATGGCAAAGACAAAGACATTCCTAAGTGGCTTTTATGTATTTTTATTGTAGATCTGCTTGGCACAGAATTCCCCATCAACATTTCATTATGTGCTGGTAAATTCGCTCCACCGAATTATCACAAATGTAAGTTGATCACAAATGGCAGTATTTCATCAGCCAGGGGATCTGGGGCTTCTATTCAGATCAGTATCTGCTTAGTAAATGCAGTTTGGGTCATAGACCAGATCTTGTTGCTCGTGTCCGTGCAGCAGGCGTTGCTTGCTAATCAGGAAGAGCGTGCAAATCTGTTTGTGCTTCCCACCAGTGGATTCCCAGTGTGAGAGCCCAGATTCCGGTATAACATCTGTAGCATTCCAGTACAGAGATGTGCTGTATGTCTCTCTGATGTAGGATGACAAATGAGTCTCATGATCTGTGGTTTTATGATAAATGTTGATACCTGAAAACCACTCTCAGGACACGCACAGTTGTTCCACCTTCTGCTGCCTGTGGTCTGTTGACCTGAGGTAGAGCTGGCCTCGTGGTTTTCTTCAGGGATTTAAGTAGTGAGAAATGGGGGTAAGTGCTGAGAGGTGAAAATATTTTGGAAGGTTGTGCAGTTTTTCATCTACCACACCCTTCTGCACTTCTGGTTTCAGTTTGTTCAGGTAGAAGAGTGATGTAGTGAGCAGCCAAGTTGGAATTAGCACTTCTGTTGCAACTCATTTGTCTGTTGTGTTTATGATGAGAATGCAGCCATCTGGGTAGTGCTGTGTGGAGCAGGTGTGAAGGGCAGTCCATGCAAGGTGTGGAGGTGCAGAGCAGGCGTGGGTGGGTGCTGCAGCAGCAGTGTAACCACCCCTGGCTGTCCCCCTGCAGTCGGCGCTGGACTGGTGGCCCCGGATCGACGCGGTCTATTGCCACTCGGTGGAGCTGCGCAGCATGTTCAGCGAGACCCTGCACAAGGCCATCCAGGGCTGCGGGGCCCACCCCGCCATCCGCATGACCCCGGTAAGGCTGCTGGGGCTGCCGCAGCACAGCCCTCCTTGTCCTGCCTCCAGCACGGCCCGGCTCTCCCGGTCACTTTGTTAGGCTGCAAACCAGAGGGGGGAAGAACACTGGCACTCACAAAGCAGCACAGAGCCACACGTGCTCTGTGACCCTGCAGGGCACTGACTGTTTCTGGTTCGATGTTTCTCCAGTTTCCTGCTACTTGGCAATGTAGAAGTATTTCTTCTGTCTTCTGTGGCTCACTGTCCATTTTAAGCTTTCTGGCTGTGAGAATAGCAGAGTAACACATCTATTCTTGCTTAATCTGAAAAACAAAAGCCTTCTGTACGTAAAGATAATTGTTGAAAACTGCGACGCTTTTACCACGATTGGCACTAGTTAGGTCTTCATTTGTCTTGCTTTCTGTTGAGCAAGTTGACGGTTTGGTCTTGGTGACAGCAAGAAAGTAAAAGATTTTTCAAACATTATGAAATAAAGTCAATATTCTTGGCTGTCTTGGAAAAAGTCTTGAGTAAACTGAGATTGGTAGTTCATCCAAATTCTTTTAGTAAGTCCACACGCAGCTGCGTTGCCACATTCTTCTTCCGAACGTTCCATGAGGACACTTCTGTTGTCGCAGGCGATCTTGGTGGCTTGGTTTAGAAGGCCTGAAATGAGACACGAAAACATTCCTGTTGGGCTTCTCACATGAGAGCAAATGACCAAAACGCTTTTGGTTGAAAGCTACACCGTGTTTAACTTGCTTTTCACCTGTATGTATTCATGTGTTGGAGAATGGTTGCCCTGACAATACCCCTTTTCTGACTGGTGGTGCTTTGTCTTCTGCTCCTCACTGTCCCTCTGGCTGGCTGCTGTCCCGCCGCGCTCAGACGCCCGCCAGCCCCTGCTTTGCATGGCCCTGGGCCTCTGCTGCCGTAAGTATGACCCGAACTGCTGCAGAACAGCCCTGGCTGGCGCTGCCTTTCCGTGCAGTTACCAGAGCAGCGCGGGGCGGAGGGGCCTGCGCCGCCAGCAGAGCTCCCTCCCGAGCAAGGCCGTGCTCTCCCTGCCGTCCCTCCCCAGCACCGAGCTCTTCTGGAATCTCCCTGCTCCTACAACAGCTTTCCAATCTCCAGCCTGAGCTTCTTCGTGGTGAACTCCTCCGCACTCGTCCTTGTTCGGTGCTGTCTGTCAGAGTCCAGACACTGTCTGCACCCCGGGGTGTTTGCAGAGGCACCGATGACCCTGTCTCTGGTTATTGATAGTCTTTAGTTTGGATTGTGTCAAGTCAATAAATTGCTTCACAGAAACGAACTGGCTTTTGCCACGTGCCTTATCTGAGAAATCCCTGACTGTAGCAAGTGGGGGTTTAGCACAGAACCAGTTACCTCTACCACTGTGCCATCAATTTCTTGATTAGATGCTTGATGTGGTAGATTTTATTCCATATATTTGCACAATGACTAAGCAGTGAATAGGTTTCTTGTAGAATTTAATTATGCAATGTGGTACCTTGTCAGGTACCCTGAAGATGATTTCAGGCTAGGCTTTCCTTTTGTCTTGTGTTGAATATCCACGACAGCAGGTTTTTTGTCCAAGTGACTGTCTTGTAACTCCTGTGGTAGCTGGAAGCAAAAATACTGATTTAGTCCCTGCTGACAGAAGGTTAAAATTGTTGAAAGTATAAATTACAAAAACTTACTGAGTGATGAAAATCCTCTGTCTTTGAACATACTGGGGACTTGTCCTCCAGTTCACAGGAGAGGGACAGGTACAGAGTAGTTAACTGGTTTTTCAGGTGAAGGCAGATTATTTTTCTTATTTAAGCAGTGGCCTGTGTGCCTTTTAAAACAGAAAAGTTCATTTTCCAGAGGTTGTTGAGGTGAACACACAGTTGTCCAGGCTGGGACCTGAAACAGTTCTTAAGAGAATTTTAAAGGTTCAGTGAAGTGATTGCCTGTGGGAGAGGGGGATTTTGAGGTAGAAGGCTGTGCAACTATACTTGAATTTTGTATACTTTTAAACTTTGTCTTGAGTCATAGATTATAAAAGCAATACATTTCATAAGGTGTTTAATTGTAATTGTTGTGTTTGACTACCTTCCTGACAAGGGCTGTGATTTTTTTTCCTTCCATCAGAGTCTTACATTTAAGGAGAAAATGACAAGCCTTAAATTTAAAGAAAAACCTACTGATTTGGAAACCAGAAGCTACAAGTTCCTGCTGTTGTCCCTGGTAAAACTGATCCATGCAGATCCAAAGCTTTTGCTGTGTGTAAGTATATCCCACTGTCACACTGGTCATTTGTAGTGGAGTTTGTTTTTGAAGCTGCTAAATGAGTAAAGATTAAAAACATACACCTGGCGTCTAGGACACGTCCTTCTCATCCCTGTCTCTGGTTATGATGCTCCTGTGCTTTTAAAGGAAAAACACAGAACAAAAAATAAACTGTAATAGATTTTATAGAATGAGAGCAACACAATGAGAAGGAGCATGAAGTTCTGTGACTCTGAAGGGAAAGATGGGGAAGGAGAGGGGAATAGAAGAAAATTAACATAAGAGAGTTGGAAATTAGTCATCATTTCAATGAGTAGAAAGACATACTGTCTTAGATCTTCCATTTTCTCAGGTCTGTCGTTGTTTAATGTAAAAATATTTCAGTTCTGTCAAAGACACGACATGCAAGGGGTATCCATGGATTAAAAATAAAATGACAGACTCTCCTAAAGATCCCGACATCCACCTGGTTCAACCAGAGGAGTGCTGCTGTAGCAGTCAGTCATGTGGGCAGGCATTGAAAAGTTTTCCAGCTTAAATTTGCTTCCCTTGTTGCTGTCCAGAATCCCAGGAAGCAGGGCCCTGAGACGCAGGGGAGCACGGCAGAGCTGATCACAGGCCTTGTCCAGCTGGTGCCACAGTCCAGCATGCCAGACATAGCCCAGGAGGCCATGGAGGTGAGCGCTGGGGAGGCACTGGGATGTGCACAGCTGACATTGGTAATGTGAAAGCCCAAACCTGTCCTTTAAAAACATTGGGTCTGTGTGCCTGGGATGGCTTTGTATGGAAATACAAGGGAAAACCTCTGGGTTTGGAGTATGAATGTGGGATAAAGACTCTAAAATGAAAGACTTCTGACGTGGCCTAACAATGAACTCTTGTTCTTCTGTATAGTCCTTCTGTAATGCTTTTTACATCCTATGTTTAGGACAGTGTAGTGAGTACGTGCCTGCACCTGTTTCTCTGCCTGTGCTCGTGCACTTTGTAAATTGCTGTCTTTAAGCAAGACTCTTTGGTTTGACTTTAGGCCTTGCTGGTTCTGCACCAGTTGGACAGCATTGACTTGTGGAATCCTGATGCTCCTATAGAAACATTCTGGGAAATCAGGTATGTAAATTAACTTTTATAAATGAGAGAAATAGCTGTTATGATTTGTCTTCTCCTTTTAAACAGCTGTGAGTATTTTGGGAAAGCTTTACCACAACAGCAGGAATCTGCAGTCAGAATTGTCATGTGTATTCACGGGGAAGTTGTATCTTCCTTACGCTATACAAATTTAATAAAAATATAACAAACGTTTCACTGGCTCCCTTAATGACACTCTTCAGCAGATGTTAAGGTGTAGAAATGATTATTAGTTTGAAAAGTTAGAGATTTTCCCCCTCATTCAAATGATTGCTACTTTTTAAATTCTGTTTCATCATTTTGGGACTAAGGGGAGGTTAATGCTGAGCAATTCCAGAAGTGTGGATTTGCTGATCTTGACCCTGAAGCCCTCACCTAAAGAAGGTGATAGCTTGGCCTGACCTGTAGTCTCCATCGGTCTTTCCTGTATATTTATGAAGAAATTTAATTCATTAAAATTGTCTTGCCTTTATAAGTGCACGGCACCTGTTATGGTTGATTTCTTGGAGGATATTAAGGGAAGTGAAGTTCCAAAAAAGTCAAGATTACTCAAAATGCTAAACCAAAAAATAGGACTCTGTCAACTCGGAATTCTAAGAATTGCATGAGCTAAATAGTAACAACAGTAGTATTTGGTGCTTTACTGTGAATTAGTGCTGATGTTTGGTGGAGAAGGAGGGAACAGCAGTGTAGGAGGAAGCCTGGGCTGAGCCCCGCTCGGCAGGCAGGAACTGACACCCAGGGCTGTAATTTGTAGGAGTAGCAATGAGTTTGTGCTCTGTTCGGGCTGGGGGAGAAACCCATTACAATTGACACTAATTTGGACCCTTTGGCAGTTTTAACAGAGAGTGTGAGGCCTGAATGGATATGAAGAAGGAACATCCCTAGATGTGTTCCTTCCAGAGCAGAGTTGAGACGTTGTCAGAGCAGTGTAGGTAACCTTGTACTGCCGCTGTCTGTGCTGTATCTGTCCGGGGAGAGCTGGAGACTGCGACCCACAGCGAGCGGGCTGGGACAGGACCCGCTCGCGTCACGGCCTCAGGGAGCTGACCAGCCGGGCGTGGGGAGGGCCCAGGGGAGCTTGGCATTCCAGGGGCACACTGATCTCTCTGTTGAACATTCTCAGAGCCAGTGTTAGTCCTGCAGAGGGTGTTCGTGCTAACTGCCTATCTCCATGTGAAGCGTAGTGTAGCACCTGCACCGTCGGCCGTCCCGGATCGTGAGGCTAACGCTGAACTTCGTTTTGTGCAGCTCACAAATGCTTTTTTATATCTGCAAGAAGCTCACGAGCCATCAGATGCTGAGCAGCACGGAAATCCTCAAGTGGCTGCGAGAGATTCTCATCTGTAGGAATAAATTTCTTCTAAAAAACAAAGTAAGTGAATGTTGCCATCTCTGTTAGGATCATCAACACACGTTGTTCTCTGCTTTGTCACTCCCTTTATTTACCACGTTATTCTTATGATTGGAAGAAATTCAGTAGCTACACCTACACTTTCTGTTCTCTGATTTCCTCTTTGCTTTGTGAGGCACCTCAGTTAGAAGAGTTAACCACAGTTAGGTTTGGGATTTTTATTTTCTTTTTTACTTTAGCTATATATAGGTTGTTTTACTTGCCTGGGAAATGTATGTTTTACAGAAAGCTATACCTTATGCCTTAATGCAAAGGGAACCAGTGCCCAAGGTGAGAGAAAGGGAAAGTAGTTAGGGTGAAATATAGACCTACATGGATGAAATCAGTTTCCTTTTGGATCTCAGGTTCCTCTGAGTCTCAGAATTCTGATTTGCTTCTTTCTGGTAATCTTAAAATATCAAATAGTGTATTTCTTAAGGGAAATACCATCCTAAGATACCATTAATGTGGGTAACTTTATAAAGCCCTGAGAGCAGCAGTGGGAAAAGTACTGTGTAAATGCTGAGGATCTTTTCACCTTCATCAAATCTATCCTTTTGGTGTGTTTTAAATAAACTGTTTTTCTTCCCTCTCTTCATAGCAGTCAGATAGGAGTTCCTGCCACTTCCTCTTCCTTTATGATGTCTCTGGAAGTGGAACCAGCCAAATTTCTCTTGACCACGAAGAAATGATACGCTGTGCACCAGGAGCTACCCTCAGGAAAGGGAAAGGGAATTCTTCCATGGTAAGTAATACATGATGATAATTAATTTTAACACATGGGAAAAAAACCCTATGTGCAAGTAGGAATTAAATTACTTTGAGAGTAATTTAAAAAAATTTAATTATTTCTGAGGAGGAGAAGACGTCTGTATCCTAAGTAATGTATGTATTTCATATGCTGGTTAATAATGATGTTTCAGCCTTTACAAAGTCACACCTTTTTCAGTTAAGATGTTGGTGATATGTTCTTAGGAGTGCACACAGCATCCCTTGTGGCAGCACATCAGAGCTCTGCTCCTGTTTAGGATTGCTTATTCTTACTGACATAGCAGTTTTAGACCCAGTTTGGCCAAGGGTGAAGTTTAATCCAAGTGCCGTATGAATCAGCAGCATTCCCAAACGGGCAATTCTGTGTTTCCCAAGGAAAGCACGGCGGGATGCAGCGGAACCCCCATCTGCCGCCAAGCCCAGACCAAACTGGAAGTGGCCTTGTACATGTTTCTGTGGAGCCCAGACATCGAGGCAGTGCTGGTGGCCATGTCCTGCTTCCGCCACCTCTGCGAGGAGGCCGACATCAGGTGTGGAGTGGATGAAGTCTCGGTCCATAATTTTCTGCCAAACTACAACACTTTCATGGAGTTTGCATCTGTTAGCAACATGATGTCGACAGGTAAGGAGCATGAATCAGTTAAACACCTTTCTTCCTGGATAATAAGACTGTTCTTTCTGTTTGAGTTCTTCGAACAGGTTGAGATTCTTGAGATGCTCTGTCTTTTCCTGAAATATCTCAATTTCTAGAGTAGCTAGAAAGTGTAAAGAATTTGGGTGACTGAGTTCATGAGGATTTTACAGTGTAACAAGAATCTGCCTTTTCTAAAATCTTAAAAGGGATGTGTTCCTCTTAGTTCAATAATTGCTTTCAAAGATCACAAATTTGATGGAGGTGGGTTTTCAAAAAGCTGTTCTGTGCCCTTGGCAGGGAGAGCAGCTCTTCAGAAGAGAGTGATGGCGTTACTGAGGCGCATCGAGCACCCAACTGCAGGCAACACAGAGGTAAACTTCCTTCTCAGCTCATACACTCCTTGCATGCATATTCCACAAGTAGTTTTGTAATTAAATCTTGATATATCTTCTTTCAGGCCTGGGAGGATACACATGCAAAATGGGAACAAGCTACAAAACTAATCCTTAATTATCCAAAGACCAAAATGGAAGATGGGCAGGTGACTATGAACTTTTCCATAGGTTCAACCTGTAGAAATGCAAAGTAACTCTTTAAGCTTATATATTTTAAGGAATATGAATTTTAATCTAGAAAATTAGTTTTGTAGGCAGACTGAAACTCCATGAAAGTATTGCAGAAAATTAATGGTAATCAGTTGTCTGCTTTGTTTGCTAAGAGACCAAGAAGTAATTTGACTTAAATTGCTCTGGAGGAGAATGAAGCTGAGCTTAAAAATTAAAAATAAATTGAAACAAAGATTAGGGAAAACTGTGGAATACTGCTAGAGAAACTCTGAAATCCCTTTCACTGGAAGTTTTTAGACAAGCCAGTGGCTACCATGATTTAAGTGTGCTTTATCCTGGTGGCAGAGCAAGGGATTGACTGGCAGGGCCCTCCAGTCCTCTCCAGCCTTGCTTCTGAACCTCCCTGGAAACAGTCTCTAGAGGTTTCTGTTCCCACTGTCACAAAAAGGTGAATTTTTGGGGCTGGAGTTGTGAATGGCAGGATGTGTTAGAGAGCAGTTCTGGTGTGTGCCCGTGTGTTTGGGGGTGAGGTGTGAGCGTCAGCCGCTCTGCTGCAGGTCACCGAGAGCCTGCACAAGACGATCGTGAAGCGGCGCATGTCTCACGTCAGCGGGGGCGGCTCCATCGACCTGTCGGACACGGACTCGCTGCAGGAGTGGATCAACATGACGGGCTTCCTGTGTGCCCTGGGGGGGGTGTGCCTGCAGCACCGCAGCAACGCGGGGCTGGCCACCTACAGCCCCCCCATGGGCCCCGTCAGCGAGCGCAAGGGCTCCATGATCTCCATGGTGTCCACCGAGGGCAGCGTGGAGACGCCCGTCAGCAAGTTCATCGACCGGCTCCTCACACTCATGGTCTGCAACCACGAGAAGGTGGGGCTGCAGATCCGCACCAACATCAAAGACCTGGTGGGCTTGGAGCTCAGCCCAGCGCTCTATCCGATGCTCTTTAACAAGCTGAAGAATACCATCAGCAAGTTCTTTGACTCCCAAGGACAGGTAGAGTGGCGATGTATTATTCACATTTCTGTCAGTTGTGTCTTTCACCTCAGGGAGTGAGACGGGTCCCTGTTTGTGTTCTGTGCAAACCCCCTGTGAGCAGTGTGATCATCACAAACATGTTAATGAGCATCATGTGTGTGAGTCCAGGCTGTATTTGACATCAAACTGTTGAAAACATCCTTGACTTCTCAGTGAACTCTTGGGTACAGAATCTGTGAGAAGCTTTGCAGAATCCGTATGGCTGCAGTGTTGATATATCAATCTGGAATGTATTGGAGTTCTTTTGGCTTGGTGATAACTAGAGAAGTGCTTGTCCATGAGATTTTTGAAATGCTCCAGTATATTATACCCTCTTTTTGGTTTTGTGTATAAAGAATTAAGACCAGGAATTTTCTTCCTGTAGGTTTTGTTAACTGACACCAACACACAATTTGTAGAGCAGACCATTGCTATAATGAAGAATTTGCTTGACAATCACACAGAAGGGAGCTCAGAACATCTTGGACAAGCGAGTATTGAGACAATGATGCTAAATCTGGTTAGGTAAGGAATCCTCTTGACCTTCCTATACACAGTAATTATGTTTAAGGAGTGAGTTAGAGTCTTCTAGTTTGTATCTTTTCTTCTTGCATCCATGGAGAAGCAGCAGCTGAATTTTCTGATGCTCCTTGTGGTTCTGACAACTTCGGTAGTCATGGAGATCATTTGTGTAGCATCAAGTGCATTGCTGGAGAGTGACTTTTGTTCTTTAAAGAACTGACCATTCCATAGCTTGGCCCTATTCCTGTAAGCTTTCCTGGTTTCTTTCTTGTATGTTGATGTTAATGGTTAAAAACCAGCCGAAGGGCAGATTTCTGGTCAGTTTTGTACTGAGATAAAACTCCTTTGGCCAGAAGAAATTTGCTACTGGTCTTCAGCTGATGCAGGAGCAGGGTTGAAATATGAAGTAGCATTAAGTATTTAATGAGTCTTTTTGCTTTTTTGTTCAGGTATGTGCGTGTGCTTGGAAATTTGGTACATGCCATTCAGATAAAAACGAAGCTCTGTCAGTTGGTAGAAGTAATGATGGAAAGGAGAGATGACCTTTCATTTTGTCAAGAAATGAAATTTAGGTAAGGACGACATTATGTAACACCTGGGGTGATGTTCTGTGGGCAAGTGTAATTTTGTTTGGTTATGTGGTTAAAAAAAGAAGCAAAAAACTCTGTCACACCAGTATTCCTGGTATAGGGATAGTCCCCTCATCTTTGTCTTCAGAATAATTCAGAGCCTGGTGCTGCATTAAAATTGTGTTTTGATTGTGGTGGCACCAGACAGATGTAACAGTTTAGTGGGTCATACAGATCAGGGTACTGCTTGGTCTAACAAAATGAGTTCAGTTCATCTTCAGTGTGTGGTGCTTCAAATAGTTCTTACACTGAGTTAGTAATAATTAAGAATGGTGCCAACAGTAGTAAGTGTTTTTAAAAGCAACCACACCAAAACTAAACAAAACCACAATAAACCCCCCAATAAATCTAAACCAATATATTTATATGTAACAGGAACAAAATGGTGGAATATTTGACAGACTGGGTTATGGGAACATCTAATCAAGCAACAGATGAGGATGTGAAATGCTTGACAAGGTAAGAAAGAACACTCTTCAGCTGTTTGGGAAGTTGCTGACAGTATTCCAGGTGGCATTTGGTATCCATGCATGAGCTGGCTCCTTGGGATTTCTTCAGCAGAAATAATGTTGAGGAAAAGAAAAAATGGTAACTGAAGTTTCGGTGAGCAGAATTATATTAAATGCTTAGTCTTAACTGACATGGCTCCTTTTAATAATTTTTCTGATTTAGCATTAGATTGACCATTTTATTATCTAGAGCTTTATCTTTATGGTGCATTCTGAAGAGTAAAATCATCAAATATTACAGTGTTGAATTTGTACTTGAACGGTTTTTTAGTGACAAATTGGATTGCACTTGTTGTCCTTAGGAGATACGGTGCTTGAACCTGTACCACAAAATGTAAGAGCTGTTTTTGTGATGGACAGAACTTTAGTAAAATATCTTTTTGTTTTTGGGTTTTTTTTCCATGTCTCTTTTTCACCTGCAGTTAGCTCTATAATGAAAAGGGATTTTTCATTTTATTTTATTTTTCAGAGATTTGGACCAGGCGAGTATGGAGGCAGTGGTTTCTCTTCTTGCTGGGCTTCCACTCCAGCCTGAGGAAGGAGATGGTGTTGAGTTGATGGAAGCAAAATCTCAATTATTTCTAAAGTAAGTAGTGGTTTTTAACTACTTTTCAATACAATGACTCTAAATAGAAGCACTGTATGACTTCTGTAACAAACTCTGGGTTTCTTCAGTGGAAATAATTGTATTATCCCATCAGGAATTACCTCTTCTATGTCCCATTTCACAAATGTCTACCAGTTTTGTGTCCATAAAAAGGTTTATGGAAACGTTTTCATTTAGAAAACGATGAGAAAATTTGGCTTTGTTTCTGCTCAGTGCAGATGTGTGCTTCACTCATGGCTGGGGGCGCTTGCCTTGATACTGTATTTGTGTCTGTGGCACCTGATCTCTCTGGAGGGGTCTGTTGGGAAGGGCACACCTGGGAAATGCCCTTGCTTGGAGGAAGTGATGCCGAGGTCAGGAGGGTGGGGTTGTTGGAGTGCAGAGGTCAGGCAGGTAGGGTTGTTGGAGCACCGAGGTCAGGCGGGTGGGGTTGTTGGAGCACCTTTGGAGTCTGGGCCGTGCTCCGGAGAGACGGGCAGGGCTGGGGTTTCCTGGGGCTCAGGGTGGGTGTGCAGCTCCTCCCGGCCAGCTGGGCGATGCAGCTGTCTGTGCACAGGTACTTCACGCTGTTCATGAACCTGCTGAACGACTGCAGCGAGGTGGAGGACGACGGGGCGCAGGCGGGCGGCAGGAAGCGCGGCATGTCGCGCAGGCTGGCCTCGCTGCGCCACTGCACCGTGCTGGCCATGTCCAACCTGCTCAACGCCAACGTGGACAGCGGCCTCATGCACTCCATAGGTAAAGGAGCGGGGGCAACCGGGCACACCCCAGTGCCTCATTAACACACTGGTATTTCGTTTCTTTTTACGTCTTCCTGAGTAGTTCTGGGTTCTTTTAATCAGGCTTGGGCTATCATAAAGACCTCCAAACAAGAGCCACGTTTATGGAAGTCCTCACCAAAATTCTGCAGCAGGGAACAGAATTTGATACGTTAGCAGAAACAGTGCTAGCGGATCGGTTCGAGAGATTGGTGGAGTTGGTTACAATGATGGGTGATCAGGGGGAGCTTCCTATCGCTATGGCTTTAGCCAATGTGGTGCCTTGTTCCCAGTGGGTAAGTTGATTCACGCATTTTATTTCCTACATTTTTAAAAATATTAAGACTTGAAACAGAAACTAATCAAACATTAAGGGTATGACAACAGTCTGGTACAGAGAATAGAGCTGCCACTGATGATAGCTAGCCCTTCTTAGGGTGTTCTTAAAAATTGCACTGAATCTAAGTTCAGATCTTGATGATAAACTGCATTTTTATAGTAAATTTCTAGTTAAATGTCTAGGAATTATTTTTTTATGCAGTTATTATAATAAATGGTGTGTGCTGTAATGCAGACACACAATTCTATTTGCTCCTCTAGATTTTAGTAAGGTGAATTGGGCTTTCTTGTACAGCAGAGTAACTGCTTATCTGTCTGGATAACTGTTCTGAATTGTATGACTGGATATCATGAGGCAGATTTTTAGATGAGCAGTAGCACATGGAACATTTACAGAGACATTCTGCATGTGTAGATTGATATTTACCTGCCAGACCCCATAGCAAACATAGTGCACATTAGTGCAAAGTGCTTGGTGGTTTTCTCACAGTACTTTTTTATATACTTGCCTTGGTTCACTGTGAGTCAAATTAACATTTCCTTCTTCTTCTAAGGACGAGCTGGCTCGTGTCCTGGTCACACTCTTTGATTCCCGGCACTTGCTCTACCAGCTCCTCTGGAATATGTTCTCAAAGGAAGTTGAGCTGGCAGATTCCATGCAGACACTCTTCCGAGGAAACAGCTTAGCCAGTAAAATAATGACTTTCTGTTTTAAGGTACGTTATCTCATCTTTATCTCCTGCAGGTCACTTTGATAACAGGAAGAGTTTAGCAATCTGAAAAGACAAAGCTGCCAGGGGTATGTGGGTGACTGGATCAGATGAGGCTCCCTGGTTATTTCAGCTCTCACACCTGTTAAGTTTAGGGAGTTTTGCTTTTTGTGTTTTAACGTTTGATGAACTTGTAGATAAGATATGCTCAGACACAACAAGAGGCATCCTCCTGGAACTAACCTTTTTCCTTTCTGACCAGTTCAGTTATAGGAGTGATTCTGGGCCAGTACAGCTGGAAGACTGTTCCTGGTGGTTTAAAGATGGGAGACAAAGTCTGAGGTCTTATTTGTGCTCCCTTTTCCATTTAAAAAGCTGTGTACAAACAGATGAAGTGTGGAGTCACTGCTCTAGGAAAGAATCCTTGCTGGATATCGTGGTTGTTAGTGTAGGTTGTATAGTTTTTTCCACACTGGAAATGAATTAAAATACTTGTAGATATTGATCTCAGTTGTGTTCCAAGGGTGAGACTATAATGTGCAAACTCCAGTTCTATAGGAATCTGGCTTATGCCAAAACACATCAGGTGTTTTCAGGCTCTTATAACACTTACAGAACTTCACAGTGTTCCTGTGGATTGCTGTGTTAATCTGGCCTCCTGTTCTTGTTTTTCTTGGACACAGGTATATGGTGCTACGTACTTGCAGAAGCTTTTGGAACCTTTGCTGAGGACTGTGATCACATCTTCTGAGTGGCAGCATGTTAGCTTTGAGGTGGATCCAACAAGGTTTGAGATTCAAGGGGAGGAGCAAATGTATTTATCTGTAAACATGATTCCCTGGCATTGTAAATATAACAGGATTCCTTTTTCCTTGTTGCAAATATGTTTCTCATACTTTCATACTGTTCCACTCCTCACTTTTCCAGACACCTTACTTGTCTCTGCTGCCCTCATACCCAGGGAGGGTTGTTCAGAGGGTTTGCTGCATGTCCTCTGAGCCCTGAGAAAGCAAGGAAGAGAGAGAGCCCTTGCAGGACCTCTTCTACTTGCTATTTCATACTTTTATGTAGGCCAGTAATAAGGGGTTTCCAGCAGAACCAGAAAGCACCTCTAGGTCAGTGACTGCAGAAGCAAGACAATGTGTGCATGGTGTGTGTAGTCTTTTTGCTTTAATTTCTCTTATCACTTCAAGACCTGGATTTAGTAGCTGTTGCTCTACTGCTTTGAATTATCTCTCTTACAAAGATTATAGGTATTTATCTCTTAAGTAGCTTACCCAAAGGATAGGCCTTCTTATTTATAGTTTAACCCTAAAATACCTGTGTCTGCCTCAAAAGTTCATTTCAGATAAACCACCATGAAACTGATAATGCCTTTATCAGTTGGAGTTGTGTGTGCATGCCTTTGTATGGAATGGTCTGAGAGACTCCCACCCACAGCCTGTCCATTGCTGAGTTTTACATGACCTTTTCTTTGCATCGTATGTGGTTTAAAATGGTGATGGAAACTTCTGTGTAAAAGTTCCTAAGTATTTCCATAAGAAAAATGAGGTGCTGAGATTGTGCCGAGCACGTAAGTGCAGCTTGTGTCCTGTTTGCACTGCTGGTCACGCGTGTGCGGGTCTGTTTCAGGCTGGAGCCCGCAGAGAGCCTGGAGGAGAACCAGCGGAGTCTCTTGCAAATGACAGACAAGTTTTTTCAGGCAATCATTAATTCTTCCTCGGAGTTCCCACCCCAGCTGCGCAGTGTGTGCCATTGTTTATACCAGGTATGCCTGCAGTGGTTGCCTGCCCCTGAGCTGTGGGGTTTGTTTGTGAAGCTCCAGCGCTTTGGAGCTTGGGGCAGTTCACAGTGGGCATCTCTTAAAGGCTCTTCTCAGACACTTGATAAAACCCACAAATCTAAATGTAGGGGCTGAGTGGTGTTTTAAGATTTGGGTTGGCAATGGGGAGGTGACTCAATGTTGGTTTTTCAAGTACCCCCATTCCCTGAGTCCATCCCCCAACTCCTGTGCCCTGTCCTGTTCCCCACTCCCTGCAGCAGCTCAGCAGGGCCCTGCTGGCTCTTTCTTGCTCTTTGTATGGTTCTGATGGATTTAGCTGCTGCTAAAAATCCCAGTAGGGATCCCCTCAGTGTTTCCAGTCCTGTTGGAGGACTGTGGGATGCTGTGCCTGCTGGAATATTGGAGCTGTGGTCTCAGTGAAGTGCTCTGGAAGAGCTACTTTAGGCCTTTGCGCCACAGAGCGTATCTCAGGTCTAAAGCAAAGAAAATAGCTTTTCTGACCTGTGTGAACTAATGATGAACTAATTCTGGGTTAATCAGGGCAACTGCTGCGGTTCCCAGAGCTTGGGAGAGAGGAACAGTGAGTTTCTGTTGGGACTGTTGTGGTGTGGGGTGTGTTGTGAGCTCCTGCAATGAATTAGATGTGCAAAGGCTGTGCCTTGTGTTGCTCTAACAGCGGAGTGGCCTCTAAAGCTGTTGCTTTCTCCACCTGACAGTGGCTGTTTGGGTTGATGGGGGCTGACTTTGGGGTTTTTTGCTGTGTTTGGCTGCTGAAATCAGGAAATGCAGTGGGCAGGTTGGTCTCCGTCATGGCCACAGTCTCACACGTCAGTGGGAGAATATTTGAGTGTATTGAGCTGAAAAAGTCCCACAACAGCCTTGGTTGTTTCTCCTGTTAGTGGATATTTTCCCCCACATCTGATCTCAGAATTAGGTTTATATGCTGTTTCCAGGAGATATCAAGATTATTGCCATTTCAGTGGTACAGTGCTAGAAATTATCTCTATGCAGACCATTTCTGATTCCTGCTTGAAATGGAATTTCTAAAATGTGCTCACCAGTGGGCATTCCCAGAGATTTTTCTGTGGAAGCCTTTGCAAGTCTGTTGGCTTTATTCTTGCCTTTGCTGCATTTGGTTATAAGGGTAATTTGTTCCTGAAAGAGATGATTTACTGGCAAATAGATAACTGATATTCAGCTTCAATGTTTACTGCTTTAGCTGTTTCTAGTAACACCTATATCATTGTACAAGTGTTTGTTCATCACAAATAGTGTAGTAATTCATTCTGTACTTAAAATTCCCAGGAGTATTGAAGAGTCTGGCCTTTATCTGAAAGAAAGTACAATCAAGATCCGATTTGGGAGTATTAATCCATTTTTATCATAAGAACCAAATAGGTGACTTTTACAGATAACTTCACTTTTAATAAGCTGAATGTGTTCCGTGCCAAGCACCAGTGTGAAAGTAAATGAGACAGAATTTTGTGGGGTGTTTTAGTTCTTAAGAGTTTTAAAGTAACTGTGTGTGCAAAGAGTACTCCCCAGGTGTGTTCTTTAAATGATTAGTAGCTAATTTTAATCAATGTAGCAACATCACAGAAAGGTGTCTTTAGTTGGATATTGGTGTCTCTGCTGGCTGGTGTTTCTGTTTTGGGAGCAGAACCCAGAGCCCAGCAGGTGTTTCCTTTGGCAGTGTCAATAAGTGGCTGCTGTGACAGTCACCTGGCACCTCCAGGTGATGTGTGTTCAGCCTGATCAAAGTAACCCCTACAGAGAATTTGGTCTGGCCATTTCATACATACATGATTTTTCTTACTAAAGAGGGTGGAAAATTTCCTGTACCACAGTAGCTGGATGAGTGGGGTGTGTGTACAAGTGCTGCAGCAGCCACTCTGTGGAAATTACACAGAGAAAGGTGGCAGAGGTGCCACTGGTTAAATGTTAATGGTCCTGCACAGCTTCCAGTTCAGCTTGGTGAGCACAATTGCTTTCACTGCCTGCACTGGTGTGGGAGTTTTGCTTTTTGCTCTGTTACATTCTCAAGCTGTAGAAACCCTGTCCCAGTTCCAGGGTGACCCTGAAGGTCGGGGTGTGCTGGCTCTCAGATGTGAGTGCTGCAGCTGGCTGTGGATGCAGCCCCGGGGGTGGCCTTGGCCTCGCAGGGATGCTGTGCCACCATTCCAGCTCGCAGCAGGGCTGCAGATGGAGCTGCAGGACGTGCCTGTGGCCAGGGAGCAGTGCACGGGGCTGAGGTGCTCTGGCTTTGCCCCAGTGCTGGTGGAAATGGCACAGAATTTGATGCTTCTTGGTGGGTCCCTTTGCACCGCAATGAAATGCAGAAAGAAACACAATCCAGTCAGATCTCTTGATTTGGAAATCTCTAATATTAACATAGACCTGCTGGCTTTTCTCTTCCTTTGTCCACAGAGTGTTTCATGGCAGTGTTAGTTCTCCCAGTGGGAATAACCTGGATGGTTTACAGGTCTAACTAAATTGAAGGACACACAGAGAAACATTGGGAAGATTTAAAACTCTAAATTTAATTTTAAAAGTAATATGTATTTCAAAGGTATAACATTGCTATTTTTACTATTGAAATTATTTGGGGATGGTGAAATACATTTGAAAGCTGAATATACCATTTAAGGCCCAATATTTCATATGACAAGCACATTGATGTGGTTTGACTTTTAATCTAGCCAGAAATAGTAGAAATGATTGAAATTCAACATTTGCTTGTTTTGTATTTAGTACTTTGTGAATAAGATGTAATAAAAATGTGAAATAAACCCTCCATCATCAGTCTTTAGTTTATATATTTCATTTTCTGTTGGTTATGTTTGTTACATTTTACTGTGTAATTTATGTACAAGTCAACATTGGTTTTTTGTTGCTGTATGTAGTTGGTGCTGTGACTTGTTTGTGCTCATCTCTGTTCTGTAGGCAACTTGCCACTCTCTACTGAATAAAGCTACCGTAAAAGAAAAAAAGGAAAACAAAAAATCAGTAAGTTTGGAGACCTTTTTATTAGCCATTTCTTTCAAAGCACAACAGAAATCTTTTGCTGTTTGTTCAAAATATCTTCACTTCAGTCTATTTGACCTCACTGTAAAATCATTCTACTAATTCTGGCACAAAATAGCTTTCATTTCAATTAACACTGGAATCAAGTTATATTTAAAATATTCTCTGTGTGCCTATTTGAGTAAACAAAAGACATTTTAACATTACTGCTTAGTGTTTAATACTCTGACTCTTCTAGCCTTGCCACCATCTTCAAATTAAAAAAAATGCTGAAGGGAAATGTTTTCTTTGGTTTTGAGAAAAATCTGAGTCTGTTGAGCTGCTTTAACACTCTGGCAGATAACCTGAGCTTGCATCCTGGGCAAAGAACAATTAATAATTGTGGGGCACTGAAAAAAGCATCATGGGACATGTTTCTGATACGTTTTCTTTTGTTTGCTTTGTGACTAAGAAAAAAAAAAGACATTTGTATTTATTTCCTGAGAAAAGCAGATTTCCCATTTTAAGTAACTTGCTGTGTTAGAATTTGGATCTGTGGGTTGCTTTAGAGTGGTGTCATTAAAAGTTCAGATTTATCCTTTTCATTGGCAGTAACCTCAAAATACAAAGTATGAATAAACCAGGCAGAATGGCAATTTAGACTTTTATTAAATACTCTCTTATTTTTGCTGTAACTGAGCAGAATAGTTATTGTGTTTACAATGCAAAATCTGTGGGCAAACTAGTATTTTACGAGAAAATATCAGTATTTGCATCCCAAGGTATTGGACTGGAATTGCTATTGAGCCAAAGTGATTCTTGGTGTATTTTATACTAATGGCTTTGTCTGGTTTAAGCAGCATGCTTTGAGATTGCACTAGTTGTGTTTTGAAGTATTTTACTGAGATGGGATTTGTTTGGTTTTTTATTTCTTTTAAGCTATGCCTTATAATACTATGCTTGCTAATTTTATTCTGTGAAAAGGTAGAATCTGACTCGTTTTGATTAGCCATTGTTACTCATTAAAATACACACAGATATTAATGGGACACATATTAAAGGACCACATGTTGCATATCTGAGAACTTTATTTTTGACAGGAAGCTTTGTCTCTAACTGTTTAAAGTCAAGTTAAAGACACCCAGAGAATAACTTTCCTCTCAGTAATGTGTAGTTGATTTCCTAAAAGCAAAGAGATTTCTTTTTTCTTACCACATTTTCAGAATTATTTTTTCCCCTTGGTAGAAAAGAACCATATTTTAAATATATAGTTCTAGCAAATTCCTGCTCAGTGGTTTTGGATGTGTGGGTAGGCAGAGAAGTGCGCTGGCTACTCAGCTGGGGCTCATTGTCTTTCTGTGATAGTTCTGAAGAGTATTTCTGCAAATACCTCCTCCTCACAAATTTAAAATTACTCCTGAAACTTCACAGCACAAGTCTTATTGCTGGAGAGGCTCTTATGCTCTGCTAATCCCAAGAGCATTGTGTGTATCTGATGGCAGGCTGTGCACACCTGAGGATGAACACACAGCCTTCCCTGCTGCACTGCCCTTGGCAGAGCCCGGGATGGAGGGGCAGCAGCTCCCAGGGTCTGTCACAGCCCGGGATGGAGGGGCAGCAGCTCCCAGGGTCTGTCACAGCCCGGGATGGAGGGGCAGCAGCTCCCAGGGTCTGTCACAGCCCGGGATGGAGGGGCAGCAGCTCCCAGGGTCTGTCAGAACCTGGGATGGAGGGGCAGGAGCTCCCAGGGTCTGTCACAGCCCGGGATGGAGGGGCAGCAGCTCCCAGGGTCTGTCACAGCCTGGGATGGAGGGGCAGCAGCTCCCAGGGTCTGTGCAGTAGCTGCTGTAGCCATTTCCCCTGGCCAGGGAGGCTGTGCAGCAGAGGAGGTGAATGCAGCTGGTGTGAGACCCCCCTGCCCCTCACTCCTTCCCTCTGTTTTGATCCTCTGCGATGCAGCAGAGCCCGCTTGAGCGCGCTGAGCATGACGGGTGTGGAAGGAGTGCTTAGGCTTGGCTTACCGTGCGAGGCTTTCTCAGCAGGTCGCCCTGGGCTCACTGTCCGTGCTGTGTGTGCCCCGCAGGTGGTGAGCCAGCGCTTCCCCCAGAACAGCATCGGCGCAGTGGGCAGTGCCATGTTCCTGCGCTTCATCAACCCCGCCATCGTGTCCCCGTACGAGGCCGGCATCCTGGACAAGAAGCCCCCGCCCAGGATCGAGAGGGGCCTGAAGCTCATGTCAAAGGTGAGCCCGTGTGTATTTTCACGTACCCATATTTGATGTTCCACCTGCCTTAGTTCTGTTCTTTGGTGGGTATGAGAAGACGCAGGAAAACTTGGAGTTTTTTGTAGCAACGTCACGTTTAACAAAGGTGCTGAGTTTAAACACTGTGGTGTGGATGTTGGAGCTCCCAGCAAGGTAAGGATGGGCAGCAGGCTGTGTGGGGAAAAACACCTCACCAAAACGATGGAGAAAAGAGCAAGATTCCAGCCCTCCATTTGAGCTTCTCATCTGAAAACAAGCAAATGACTGACGTTGCTGTGAGTACAGTGAGGGGAACAGCCAGCACTGACTGAGTTCATACCCCTGCTGGAGAAGGGATTTTTCCTTTAATCTCATTTGGTCATGCTTCTTGTAAAAATGAAAAAAAGGTTTAGTGATGGCACACAAATTCTTTGACCTGTGCATATTATACATTTTAAATGTTGATAAGTTATAGTTGTGTGCTATTGCTTTTACTCGCCTGTCTAATTTCCAGGAAAAATAGTTAACATTTAATAAATGATGGTTTGAAAGATGATTTATTTTCCTGATTTAACTCGAATGAAGTTCATAAATAAGTGAAGTGGTTTTCTAGTATTTAAAAGTCTGAGAAAGAAAAGACATGGAAAGTGAATGTGTTTTAAATTAATTGGCTTATTGGCCTTTTTGTTGTCTGGCAGAAACAGTTTGTTAATTACTGTAACAGTTACTACATTAAACCTTTGTGTCTTTACTGTCTCTTTAGATACTTCAGAGTATTGCCAACCACGTCCTGTTTACAAAGGAGGAGCACATGCGGCCTTTTAATGACTTTGTGAAAAGCAACTTCGACGCAGCACGAAGGTAAGGCCTGGGGACACTCCAGCAGTGTGTGGGGTGTGCAGAGGGAGCTGAGAGTGCCCTCACAGCCCTTTAATCTGCCTGGAGTCCCCTTGGGAGGTTTCTCTCACACCCCGATGCTGTGGCTGGGTTTGAATTCCAGGTTTTTCCTTGACATCGCGTCCGACTGCCCGGCGAGTGACACCGTCAACCACAGCCTGTCCTTCATCAGCGACGGCAACGTCCTGGCCCTGCACCGCCTGCTGTGGAACAACCAGGAGAAAATCGGCCAGTACCTTTCCAGCAACAGGTGAGGGAGGTGGGAGGGAGGGAGCTGCTGATGGGAAATGTGTCATAGAATCATGGAATGGTCTGGGTTGGAAAAGACCTTAGAACTCATCCAGTTCCACCCCTGCCATGAGCAGGGACACCTTCCACCAGCCCAGGTTGCTCCAAGCCCTGTCCAACCTGGCCTTGGACACTTGCAGGGATGGGGCAGCCACAGCTTCTCTGGGCAGCCTGTGCCAGGGCCTGCCCACCCTCACAGGGAAAAAGTTATTCCTAATATCCAGTCAAAATTTAGCCTCCTTAGCTTAAAGCTGTTAATGTTTGGAAATATTCTCCTATGCTTCTATTATTATTATTATTGAGAAGAATATCAGTATTCATTGAATACTCCTTTTATTTTTTTTGAAAAAAGAAAACCCAGCAAGCTCCAGCCTGTTGGTGGGGAAAAAAAGTAGGAATTGCTGAGTAAAGCTCTTTTCTTACGAGGAATATGCTGTTTGCAGGGACCACAAGGCTGTTGGACGACGACCTTTTGACAAGATGGCCACTCTTCTTGCCTACCTGGGGCCTCCTGAGCACAAACCTGTGGCAGACACACATTGGTCCAGTTTAAATCTCACCAGTTCCAAATTTGAAGAGTTTATGACGAGGTAAGGAGACTCTTGTGGTGGGGACACACAGAGGGGGCTTCCTGACTTCACCACGTGTGGAGCTGTGAGCAGTTTAATTAAGGCTCCTGCTGCTGTTTTGAAGGGGAGTTTAAAAAGCCAAATCTGTGTAAGGCTTTTAGATTTCTGAGTAGATTTTAATTAAAAAAGCTAAACTGGGCACTGGAGATGGCAATAACATCTGTGATTTAACAAAGGCTTAAGATTGTGTGAACTTAATATTTTTGTTTAAAGATGCAAGTAAAGAGGGTGTTTTTGTTTTTGTGTTTATTATTATTATTATTACTATTATTATTATTATTATTACTATTATTATACTTTTTTGAAAGGTAGTTGTGAAAGTTGATGTCCATATATTGCTTTTTAGGCATCAGGTACATGAAAAAGAGGAGTTCAAAGCACTGAAAACGTTGAATATTTTCTACCAAGCTGGGACATCCAAAGTTGGCAATCCTGTTTTCTACTACATCGCTCGGCGGTAAGAAACCTTTCACCTTCCCAGTCTGAAACAAACCTGTAAATCCAAAGTATCAAGTGTGTATAAGAGACACCAACTTTGTAACAGGCAAGAATCTGAAAATAGCTTATTTGTTAAAATTTGCACAAAAGTAATAAGGGAAGCAGATGTTGATATGTGAACTTTGCAAAAGAGTGTGTTTTTCTGGTTAGGCAAAATTTTGAAAGTTTTAAGTGTTCCCTGCTTTGGAAGATAGTGATTCACAGCAATAAATAGCATGTGCTGCAGTACTGGAGAATTTGGGAAGAATGTCCCAAGGTCAGTATTAGACAGGTTATGGTCAACTAAGTCACAGTTCTCTCCCTTAAAGGAAATCAAAATTAAATAAACTAGTTTTATTTAAATTAATATTTGCAGTTGTAAAGCTGTAACTGAAACTTGATGTCTCAGTGCAGTTCCTGAGTAGCTGCACTGTGAAATCCCTGGAGGACAGATGTGGAGAGCAGCTTCCTCAGTGATTACACCGGGACCAAGAGTCTGTCCTGGTGTCATTAGGACAGGGCAGGTCCTTGTGCTCCCCCAGGTGTGCTCAGGGGCAGCTCTGTGGAGAGGGCTGGGCTGTTCTCTGGCGGCTGCCTGTGCTGTGGGTGGGGGTGTTGCTGGTGGGCTGTGTGCTGGCAGCAGTGGGGCTGCTCTGGGAGGTTGTGGAGGTTCTCCCCAGCCTGGGTGTCACCGTGGTACTTTTGGGTGCTGGCAGAGCCCCTGGGGATGTTCCTGCTCTGGTTGTTGCCAAGGTTACTTTGTGCCAGTGGGGCTCATGGTTTGCTTCTGCTCTCGTCACCGTGGTTTCTGCTGGTGGCAGCTGAGCTGGTGCTGGTGGAGCTGCCCATGGCAGCAGGGCTGGGAGAGCTCCCGTGGCTGCTCTGGCTCTTCCTGGTGCTCCTGTTGGTGCTGTGTGGTGCCAGTGTGGTGCTGGCTGTGGTACCTCGCTGCTGCTGTGCTGAGCTGTGCTGTGACAGGCGTGGTTGTGCTCGGGGGACTGTCTGAGCTGCCTGCTGGGGTGAGGCGGGAGGAGCTCTGGATGGCGGTGCCGGTGTTGGGCCGTTGGGTGCTCCGTGCTGGCTGTGGCACCGCTGCTCGTGGTGCCAGTGGCACTGCTGGTGCCACTTCCAGTATTGTCACGAGGGGATGGCATCAGTGGTGAACCTTCTGCAGAGCCTTGGGAGTTCCTGTGAAAACATGGAAAGAAGCAGAGGAAGCCACTTCCCACTTCCTTAGCAGCATCTCCTGTTTGTATCCAGCAGTTTAAATAAATAGTCAAACACATGCTTGCAAGCAAGTCATTCTTCAAATGGCATGTTTCTAATGACAGTAATGCTCAACAGGCACGTAAGATCTTTTCAATTAATTAAAATTGCAGGTCCTTAATTTTATTAAATGTTTCATTGTTTTCAGTAGTGCTTTTTACTCCGTAGGTTGAGTTACAAACCTCCTTTGACTGGGGAAATTGCCTTCCTTTAACTTTTCTACATTTTCAACACCCTTGACTCTTTGAATGGAGTGGAAGAACACAAGATGAGTAGCATCACTTATATTCTGTCCTGATTTTCTGTCTTCAAAAGCCACACAGCAGTCCATGAACCTGCATGTGGGCTGACAGAAGGGGCTGTCCCCAAGAGAAGCTTGGATGCCTTTTTGCCTCACTTAAATTTCTTTTTTTTTTTTTTTTTAAGAAAGATCCCTAATGTTTAAGTCCCTTCCACATATAGAGTAAGCAGTGAAGGCAGCCTTTGGAATTCTCTTAAAAAAATTCTCTACTTCCTACGTTTTTCTTCTCTATTTTGTTCCATTAGGCACAAAATCCTATTTCATATCAAGTAAAACAGAATGCCTACGTTGTTATCCTGTCCTGTTCAGACAAGAAATGAGGCATATAACTGTGGAGAATAGTGATAACCCATCTTAAGAAGTGACTGGCTGGCAGTGATCCAAGGCATCCTTATGTATTCTGTGCAGACCTGAGACATGCGGGGTGTTTGTTTGCAGAGCAAGAAGTGGTTATCTCATTTGCAGAGAAAGGATTTCTGGAAGTAAATGGATACCAAATTTGCAGCACGTGTTTGCCAAGCCCAGCTCTCTTAGCTCCCTCTCCTCTAAAAGAGGAGGACTGAAACGGTCCACGTCTGCCTTGCTCCTGGGTGGAACGTTGCCTCTCCCTGGAGCAGCTGCACGTGCAGTTCTCCTGAAGAGGCTGTTGTGAAACCCAGCAGGAACAGGCTTTGCTCTGGGAGGATGCTCTGGCATCTTCTCTTGTCATAGGGATGTGGCTCAGTGGGGCTTATTTGGGGTGTTTGTCATCTGGTTGTGAGGCAGATGTGTTTTTAAGGTATGAAATGTGGAAAAACTGTTTAGATTGGAGCTGCCAGTATGTTTGAGGGCTTGCAGCAGGCTGGGGGTTTTTGGCTGGTTTTTTTTTTTGGTAGTTTGTGATCTTGTTGCTAGGGCATTGTTGAGTCATTTTACTGATATATCTGGATCAGTTGATATCATTCTTGTGCTGTGAAATTTAATTCCTTCTGTCATCTATCTTCACATTTTGTTTCCTGGGCAACAGCCCTGCTTCTGGAGCCAGTGCTCTTCTGTTTTTAAGCCCTATCCTGTTACTAAAATGATCCATAAATCAATAAATATTGACCCTGAACTACTGCCATTACGTTTTAAAGCCGCTTCCAAACTAATTAATAGGAATACAAAGCTCTGAGTTATTGCTGCAGAGCACATCGATCCCACGGCAATTTTACCCTTTGGAGAGCGAGCACAGAGCTATGAAAGGTGTGCCAGAGCGTTCTGGGGTATTTTGAGTATTGCCCTGAAATGCTAACTGGTTGTTTTGGAAGATAATTTCACTGAGAGCAGGTTATTTGGTATTTCTGGTGCTCTGAGCGAGCATTATGTTTACAAACCAGGCCCTGGGTTTAGCTCAGTGTGACTGCACAGTTGCCCAGCAACAAGTGCTGGGCTGGCACACTGCTGCCTCCTCCAGCTCCCTTATCATTCGTATTCCATTCGTATTCCAGAAAAATACAGGCAAGCCTAAATTCCTGTCTGCTTTGTTGAAAGCAGGCTGAGGAAGAAGCCCTGGTGCTTGTCCCCAGCAGGGTTTGGGCAGGAGCACAGCCCTGGAATGTGGCAGGGCTGGCTCACTCCATCCCCATCTGCAGGTTTTGTGTCCCGGCTTCCCCGTCCTGTACATGGATATGGAAAAACCCCCAACCCCACTTCCACTTCCAGGCTTGTATTAGCATGCTGAAGACTCTGAAGTCTGGGTAGCAAGTCCTTCAGGGTGAGGGCTTGCAATTTGCCCCAAATAACTTCTGGAAAACAATGTTTTCCTGTTGCTCTCAGTGAATGGTCTCGTTGTGGGTGAAACATTCTCCGAGTGTTTAAAGTCAGTTCCGTGGAGGTTTTTTTAAAGCAATAGAGTTTGGCATCCTGTATTGATCCTGCAGCAAAGACACGTGGGGTATTTCATGTAATTCCCTCAAATCTGGCAGTTTAGTCACAGCCCTTGTTCTGTGATTGGTGCTGCTGTGTGGGATGAAGCCATGGGAATGAGAGCTCCGGGAATGCGGAGTTCTGAGCACCATAAGTAGGCTGGGGCTGTGTTACAGTCAGTCAGCACTGAGCAATCACATGGACTGCCCAAAGACAGTGGCAGGAGGGATTTGCAAGTTCTGAAGGGTAGGAGGGGAAGGATAGTCCCAGTGTTATGATCATGTCATCATCTTATTGCTATACAATATTAGGGATATATCAGTATCAAAATAGTATAATTTATCTATAATTTTCCCCCATAAGACATGAAGAGGGAGCCAAATGTCTGCTTGAAACAGGTTTTTATAATAAAATATTAACTATTCAGTGGTATCACTCTGCTTATTTGAAAAGAAGCACTGACACTAATTCAGTTCAATACAAACATAACTTTATTTTTACTTAAATGCCAATGAAATAACTGTACAAATCCATTGTGTAACATTTACTGTTAGAAATTAAAACACGTTTCTGGTTATAGAAATACTGTTCACAGTTGGAAAGTTGTGATTTCTCTGACACCAGTAGTTGTAAATGGTTTACAGCCCCCATTGACACCTTAGGAGAAACAGGTAGAGGACTCCAGTCTCAGTTGTGAGGTTTTCTGGGTTTTGTAGCACCTTCATGCTACAATAACTGGAAATTAAATGGCCTGGAATGAATGGAAAACATTGTATAAGATCTGTAATATTAAGTGAGTAATACTTTTTCAATTAACTTGTTCTTCAGTTTTCATTTCATGCTGTTTGCAGAACTTCATCTGTAGTATATCAGGTACCTTTGCCATAATTTAAATAATTTTCCTAGAGTGGACAGAACCATGCGTGCAACTATTTCTACTGGCTGATGGTGCAGATGGAAGGAGAAGAGCACCCATGCTCGCCCTTGGGAAGCAGCGTTTGGGCACGTTCAATGCCATGGGCTCAAGTAATTCCCTGTGAAGCCCCAAGATTCGGGATTGTTTCAGTGACAGCTCACCAACTAATTGCTTAATTGATTTGTTACATGACTTGTGCTAGAAATTGGCTGATATTTAATTTTGCTGGTAGCAGTTTGCTACGTTCTGGCTGATTTTAAGCAGAATGTATTAACGTTTCCGGATGTCACTTGACGTAAAGTTAAGGAGTTCTATTTCATTAATTTGGGCAGATAACTCCCTGGTGTTGGAGCGTGTCATGGCATTGAACATCTGGCCTTTTCCTCTACTTCTATCTTTTTTTTTTCTTTTTTTTTTTTTTAATTATGGAGAGAGCAATAACTTGCCTGCAGTCTCTAAGTGGAGACAGAGCAGAAGGATACCGGCCCCTACCACTTTCCCATGCTGAAGTTGGACCATGTTGCCTTCTCAGTTTACACCCTCCTAGCAGATATCATGGCGTTGTCATATTTAATTCCTAAATTCAAGACTGTTGTTCTTCATATTTAAAATATCCTAGTACATATGAAGCAAACATAGATACACATGCTAGCAATTTTGCTCAGGAATAACTTCTTATTAGTAAAACAGCTCAGTTTAGTTCCTTTATTTTTTTCCCTTCCTTTTGCATGTTGTCATAACTTACAGAGCATCTGTGCTGCTATATTACAGGAATTGCTCACTGGCAAGTCAAGCAAGACAATGCAGATATGATACAGGCCTTCTTTTTTTTTTTCCAGTTGTTCAATGACAAAATCATACATAAAATCAGTACTTAAAATTCTGATGTGTTTATTCTGTGCAAGTAAAATGAAAAATTTAAATACAAAATAAGCACATTTTTAAAAACAAAATAATAGGTTAGTTGTACTCAATTAAGACATATGAAAATAAGTAGCAGCTTAGTATCAAGACATTAGTGTGCACGTCTTTACGAACTGTTATTTTCTTTAGAGCAGAGTCAGAGCTCTGCATTCCTTGTGTTTTGATTCATTATTTCAGCTGGATGTCTCGACTCCAGCTGTGTATCCCAGGAACACACCCGGTGCTGTCCCCAAGGCAGGAGCCCTCAGTGGACAGCCATGGCCACTGCGTGGAGCAGGAGGACGTAAAGCAGGGAGAGCTGCCGGGCGCCGGCTCGGGAGGGCACGCGCGCGTTGGGAGCGCCCGTCGTGGCCTCCTCTTTGCTTAAGGTAGCGGTTGTGCTGTGAGGCACCTTGGAGTAGTTCGTTGGCATTCCACTGGTGATGCTTAAAGTCATGGGCGTGGTGGACGATCCCGTGGAGTTGCCCTGGGTTGGGTCCATGGCGTGGATCGTGCGCGTGGCTGCTGCTTCCTGGGGGCCGCCGTCCCTCGAGGTCAGCCCGTCGGGGTGGCGGAGCAGGGGCTGCTCCGTGCTGGGGAACAGAACCGTGTGGCTTTGGGTGGCCAGGGGAGTGACTTTCTTGGCTTTCAGTTGTTTGTGCGTTTTGGTGGCTGGGGTGGGTTCGGCTGCCTCGGCAGAGGTGGCTCTGTCTGCCTTCCTTCCTTCGATCAGGGCGCTGGAGTCCCCAGCCGTGGGCGCGGCCGAGGCGGGCGCGGCGCTGGCCCAGAGCCCGGCCTGGTGGGCGCAGGGAGCCCCCAGGACACGGGCAGCTGTACCCTGCACCCACTGCAGCACGTAAGGGATGTTCTGTTTGTCGCTGCAGGACCAGGGGTTGTTGTATAGAGTTACCACCTGCAGCTGAAGGAGCTGGTCAAAAGCTTTGTCGGGAATGTACGAGAACTTGTTGTTGTGCAGGTAGAGGCTCGTGAGGTGTTGAAGTCTCACCAGTGTTCCTGGGAGTATCTGGGACAAGAAGTTATTGGATAGATCCACCGTCTCTATATTGTAGGGAATGTTGGTTGGAACTGTCCAAAGTTTGTTGCTGCTGAGATTGAGAAACTTGAGACTGCTCAGTGTGTTGTTGATCAGGACAGCTCTTTCCACCATATTCCTGGAAACGTCGAGCACTCGAAGATTCCACTGGTAAGCTGTATCAAGTTTCTGAAGAACTTTAATGTTGTTGTTTGTGGCATACAACTCCCATAAGGATTTAGGCAGATGAGCAGGAACATTCTTGAGCCAATTATGCGAAATATCAAGGGTCCTCAGATTGGTGAACCTCGTTAGCTGATGATCGAGATCTACAAACTGGTTAAAGGACAGATTTAAATATGTAAGGTTGTCTTGAAGTCCCTGGGGCAGTACAGTTAAGTTTCTGCCTGAACAGTCCACATTCCTGTCGTTTCCTGAGCATGTACAGCTAGAAGGACAGATACCCAAACCAGTGGGTAGGAAAACCAGAAGGACCAGCAGACAGGTAGATGTATTCAATATCTGGTATTCCATTGTTGCCTGGAAATAAATATACCAAAATGACACCCTTTAAACCCATATAATATATTTTATCTCTGTGTAAGGGTTGTCTGGGCAATGGCCACTTGCAGGAGAAATTAAGTAAAAATATCAATAACCCCCTTTGAGGCACGGTCCTTTTTAGAATTGTTCAAGAGAGACTTCACAAAGCATCCCTTCAGCCTGTCATGTTGTCTGGCAGAATGAGACTTGTTTTTTCATCTCCCTTTCCCCCTCCAGCTCAAATGAGGGCTTTCTTCCGAAAATGCAAGTCTCTTCCAAACGTTATACAATGTCTGCTTCTTGTTTTTAGTGATTTCAAGCCTATATTATGTTTGGAATAATGTGTTCTTTTATAGAGGATGAAAAAATGGCTGTCAACTGGATCTGCTTCACAAATCTCTGCAGTAGTGTAGCAGTCCCCCCCATCCAGGGATGCTGTTTGCTTAAGTAAATTGGTTAAAATACATCTTAGGACTGTAGTTTGAAACGCAAATTCCATGTTCATGCTCACATGCACATTAGTATTTTTTCCTCCTTACAGTGTTAATCACATTCTCAAAGCTGGTAACACATGTCCAGAGCCCAAATTGCTGTTAGTAAGAAATCTCTGACACTGCAGCAAATTTCTGGTGCAAGCATCTGTCAGCAACTCCTAATTCCGCTCCTATTTCCGTCTCTGATTCCGTGGTAGGTTTTTGTGATTAAAAACAAAAAACCACAAACTTACCGTGGTCTCCTGCAGTATCAGCACATCGTTTCCGTGATGGATGGGAGCTTAGAGGTCGCCTTGTTCTGGAGAGCAGCTCCAGAGGCTGCCGGGGGCTGTGCTCGTCTCCTCAGCTGCATCGCGTTCCTGCGCGCGGCTCCGCAACCACCTGATCCGCGGCACTGCAGAGCCGTGGGGCTGCTGCACAGCTGAGCACGGCCAGGAACCTCCCTGGGCTCTGGGAGCAGGCAGGAGCTGCTCCACAGCCACAGAGCAGGCTGTCAGTGTTCCAGACAGAGCTGCTCCCAGCTCTAGTGCAGACTGTCAGTGTTCCCCAGCTCTAGTGCAGGCTGTCAGTGTTCCCCAGCTCTAGTGCAGGCTGTCAGTGCTCCCAGCTCTAGTGCAGGCTGTCAGTGCTCCCAGCTCTAGTGCAGGCTGTCAGTGCTCCCCAGCTCTAGTGCAGGCTGTCAGTGCTCCCAGCTCTAGTGCAGGCTGTCAGTGTTCCCCAGCTCTAGTGCAGGCTGTCAGTGCTCCCAGCTCTAGTGCAGGCTGTCAGTGTTCCCCAGCTCTAGTGCAGGCTGTCAGTGCTCCCAGCTCTAGTGCAGGCTGTCAGTGTTCCCCAGCTCTAGTGCAGGCTGTCAGTGTTCCCCAGCTCTAGTGCAGGCTGTCAGTGTTCCCCAGCTCTAGTGCAGGCTGTCAGTGTTCCCCAGCTCTAGTGCAGGCTGTCAGTGTTCCCCAGCTCTAGTGCAGGCTGTCAGTGCTCCCAGCTCTAGTGCAGGCTGTCAGTGTTCCCAGCTCTAGTGCAGGCTGTCAGTGCTCCCAGCTCTAGTGCAGGCTGTCAGTGTTCCCCAGCTCTAGTGCAGGCTGTCAGTGTTCCCCAGCTCTAGTGCAGGCTGTCAGTGCTCCCAGCTCTAGTGCAGGCTGTCAGTGTTCCCCAGCTCTAGTGCAGGCTGTCAGTGTTCCCCAGCTCTAGTGCAGGCTGTCAGTGTTCCCCAGCTCTAGTGCAGGCTGTCAGTGTTCCCCAGCTCTAGTGCAGGCTGTCAGTGTTCCCCAGCTCTAGTGCAGGCTGTCAGTGTTCCCAGCTCTAGTGCAGGCTGTCAGTGTTCCCCAGCTCTAGTGCAGGCTGTCAGTGCTCCCAGCTCTAGTGCAGGCTGTCAGTGCTCCCAGCTCTAGTGCAGGCTGTCAGTGCTCCCCAGCTCTAGTGCAGGCTGTCAGTGCTCCAGACAGAGCTGCTCCCAGCTCTAGTGCAGGCTGTCAGTGCTCCCAGCTCTAGTGCAGGCTGTCAGTGCTCCCAGCTCTAGTGCAGGCTGTCAGCGCTCCCAGCGCAGCAGTGCCTGCAGGGACGGACCGAGGGCAGTGTCTGGGGGCTCTTGGAGCCTGAGCTGGCATTGCTGCCTTTAGTGTTTCTGGGTGAAAAGTCAGGTCAGTTGTGTTCCTTTTTACCTTTGATTACCCTCTCCTTCTGTAATAGAGGTTAATGTTAATTTAGGCTACCCGTCTTAAGCTTTTTTAAGCTCCACTGCCGGAGTATATTTTCATCATTTTAAAATACTTTTCCACTCCTCAGACCAGCCTGTTGCTGTATTGTCAGGTATAATGTAGCTCAGCTTGTAGGATTTTAGAGATTTCTACAGGAAATCTCTACCTGAATTTCTTAAAGCAATATGGTAAGAGTGTTTGTAGTTTATAATGCTGTGAATTCTAACAGGTTATAATGCAATGAGCCTTAAAAAAATTTTGTATAATTGTAATGCTATTCTTTAGGCATACGCGCTTGTAGCAAGCGTGGGTAGAGCCCTTTCAAATCTTCGTTCGCGAAGCCTAGCCATGATGATGCTTTAGGCATATCCAGCCATATAACTTATGTAAACTGTAAGAAAAAATTATAAATATATTTTGCTATGGCTGTTATATGCACAACAACCAGGAATTGCACTTGCATAACTTACTGCTCTTTGTGGTAGTTGAAAGATGCTGAAGTTCATTGTGTGGCCTGTGGTGTTACATCCACAAATTATTCCCTGCTCAAGCAAACTCAAAACTCCAAACTGTGCCATTTTGCAGAACTGTCATGGAAAGTTAACTTTGGCACTTAGCAGCTTTTTTCTATAAATATGAATATTCAGCACAGGTAAAAAAATATAAACATTAATTTACTTTTGAGACCACCCTGCTGCTTCCCACCCAGAAATTAGCTTAGCAAAGGCTGGTGTTAGGGGGGTGAGCTTTACTGGTACTCAAGGCCCAGAGAAAAGCATGTAAAGCACTTGAACACCTTGAGTTCAAAGCAATCTGGTATCCCTGAAACATTAAATGAATTTTTTAAGGCTCTATTAATAATTGAAAACTTTCAGAAAATACTACTTCAGAGGAAGAAATCAGTGAATGTGCACAACTAGTCCTGCTTTTCATCTGCCTGAGTGTGCTGCAAACTTTCCAGTTTATGCACAACAATCCGAAGGCTCTAGGTACAAGAAAACCTATTTGTAGTTGTTCTTCAGGTGTTTGGAGTGATTTGAGCTTTTTAGTGACCATGATATTAACTGTTCTTTCATACAGTTCTCTGCTTTACCAGACTGGAGTGTGATGGGACTGGAGATTTTACACCAGTCAACTCTTTGCTCATATTTGACCTAAAGGAAATCTCATTCCTGGTAGCAAAGAACAACCTCTGGTTGTTGGGAGGATTTGGTTGGTACCTGTAATCCACAGGTACCAGGTTGTTACCCTGTGACAGGCAGAAAACAGACCTTTGTGTGACTCCCACCATGGTTTGGGTTGGAAGGGACCTTAGAGCTCATCTCGTTCCACCCTCCCTTTGGAAGGGACACCTTCCAAACCACGGGGTTCCTCCAAACCCCATCCATCCTGGCCTTGAAAACTTCCAGGGATTCCAGCTGGTTTAGACTTTGTTTTGAATTCCAAGCTCTGTATCAAAGCAAATACTCAGTTGGGCTTCAAGTGACCAAAACATCTTTGAATCAGACAGCTTTATTAAAATGAACTGGAATTCATTGCATTCACTTACACAGCCCAGTGGAGCAGACACTGCTTGGAAAACTGAGTCCCTGGGAGGCTGTCTGGGAGCTGCATCTCCCTGTGTGTGGTACGAGGATCTGTCTCTCCTGGCACACCCAGCCATGTGCACTCTGCCTTCTGGAGTCTCCACCTCTAGAATCTCCAGCAAGAGATGAGTGGGCACGGTTTGTGTTGGATTTGGAAATTACTTGCTTCAGGCAGAAGCAGGTTGTTCCTCTTGTGAAAGCTGAAGTTGGGAAACACCAGGGAAATGCCTGTGCCGTGGCCTCACTGTTCTTGCCTGCCTCAACTTCTCCTTTTTTCACTTATTTGAAAAATACTTGGTTTAAGAAGAATGTGGAGTATTCTGTAAATGACTTGTGGCAGTCTCCAAAGGGTGTTCTGGCTGGGGCAGTGGTTCATCAATGTCCTGAATCAGGAGTTCAGGTGCTGGGGGCAGTGGTTCATCAGTGTCCTGAATAAGGAGCTCGGGTGCTGGGGGCAGTGGTTCATCAATGTCCTGAATCAGGAGTTCAGGTGCTGGGGGCAGTGGTTCATCAGTGTCCTGAATAAGGAGCTCGGGTGCTGGGGGCAGTGGTTCATCAATGTCCTGAATCAGGAGTTCAGGTGCTGGGGGCAGTGGTTCCTCCGCTGCCGACGGAAATGCTGAGTGCTCGCTGGGATCTGAGCTGGGTTCCTCAGGGGGTTCCCTGAGCCAGTCCGGTGGAGGTGGCAGGTCGTGAGACTCAGGTGGAGTGTCTGGGTGAGGACAGGAGTCCCCTGCAGTGGTCAGTGTTTCTGAGGAGGGAGCTGGAGGTGGGTCTGTGCTGGGAGCTGCTGTTCCTGCCGGGGGAGGCAGCTGCCCATCGTCGTTGCTGGCAGTGTGGAGGGATGGGTTCTCTGATCCAGTGGGATCCTGCTGTAAGTTTGGGCCTTGTTTCAGTTTCCAGGGCAGCATGAATAAAACTGATGACCGTTTGTTGTCCTGGTCAGAGTCCAGGAAGAGGTCTGGAGTGTCTCCATCTGCGAAGGGAGAGCGGCCTGCCCAGTGGGAATTGGCCAGAGCAGGCCCAGGCCTCACGCTGCATTTCCACAGGAGAATTACAAGAATTGCCACTATCATACCAAGCAAAATGATGCCAATCAGCAGTCCTGCTACCCAACTGCCATCGCCAGCTTCTTCCTCTCCTGTGGGCACCGCAGGTGTTGTAACAGCCAGTGCTGGGCCAGCTTGGTGTAAACTGGGTCCAGGTGCTGCTGTGGAAAGGGACTTCCAGATTGCTCCACAGAAGAGAACCAGGATGACCTGGTTGCTGGCCATTTCCCTCCAGCCTCTTTAAATGTGTCCTCTCCTAATGCAGGGAAGAAATAGAGTGTGGTGAGTTGAAAACTGCATTTGTTGTATGGTTACACTTTACTGCCTCCAGGCAGTTTCATGTCAATACCATGGTAGTGAAATAACACTTGACCCAATGTTTCAAATTTCAAACCTATTCCCATTTGTATGATCAGCAGATTAGCCACTGACTTTACAAATAACAGCAGATTTTCAACATTATTGGTTATTGTAATTAAGTGACTTTTTAAAAGAGAATGTCTTGGTTGTTATTATCTTTTTTCACCTTATCAGAAAAAGGCCTCAGCAGAGCAGTCCTAACAGGGCTTCAGAATAACCTTTGTCAGTCGTGTGACTGGTCATGTACCTGGCACACACTCTGCAGCACTGGCAGCAGGATTGACACACAGTGTTGTCAGGAGTGAAGAAATGGTTTGTTGTGATGATTGTAGGCTGAGACCAAAGTAAAAGGCTCTTCACAGATCTCTTAAATCACAGATCTTTTATTTCCTGTTCTCACCTCTCTTCAGCATAGCAAAATATGCAAAAGTTTTCCAGGTACTGGTGCTGTAATGGAACAGCATTCTGATGTAAACTGTTTTATAAATAAATTCCTGCCAGGGGCAGTGGAGGAGATTGTACAAATGTTTAGTTGTTGGCATGAGACAGTTTGTTTTTTCCTGTACTGATTAGAGTTCAGATCTCTGAACATCTCCTTATGAAATAAATGATATAAAATCCATCCCCTACACAGAACTTTTCCTTCTGAAGTTACATTCATGCACTTTGAGCTAATTCATTAGCTCCAACAGTGCTAGTCCTTGGAAGCTATTTCTGGGAAATTAATATGCATGAGTCTTTATGGCTTTACAAATATGCAAAACTGAATTTTAGGTGCAACAGTGTAAACACACGTGAGTAGTTAATTCATGCATCTTGAGAACATCAGGATCCAAATTCTATCAGGTTTGTAAGAGGTTAAAACAATTCAATTGAATTTTTATGCTGCTCTCCTCTTTTCAAAAGAGAGACAAATAGTACTTAGATGTAGACTTCATGGTAATTCACAGCAACATCCGCAGACAATATATTTGAAACCCTCATGCTTTTAAGATCCAGACATTCAACAGAGCTCTGAACACACCCTGAAGCTGGGATGGGCATGGTGCTGAACACGGTGCAGCTCCATTTCCACCCAAACAGTACAGATCCTGAGCTTTCCCGTGCTGAAGCTGATCCTTACCTTACATTTGTCTTCTCTCAAGCAAGCATCGTCTCACTTTGCTGTTAGAAGGCTCGGGAGGACAGGGAGTGTGCTCAGAGCTGAGCTGCTTAAAATGGCCCCTTTCCTGCTGAGGTTGGTGCAGTGGGAGGAAGTTGGCCAACCCTCGCTGCAGGAAGTGTCGGGAGCGGGGAGCTCGCGCTCGTATCGCGGCGATGGCGTGTTCCACCAGCAGGCTCTTCTGCTCTGCTGGTTGGACTGTTACAGAGCTGTTGGTGGCTTCTGCCACGTGAGAGACACGTATGTGGAAATTCATGAATACTCATTTGCCTGTCTTTGTAGAAAAGAGTTACAGTTTCTGCTGTGTGAGTCAAAACCTATGCAAATTTGGGCTGGATTGGAGTCCCTGGGGTAGTTTCAGTGGTGGGTTTGGTGCCCTCAGGATTATTAGTGGAAAGCCAGCCTTGGGCAGTGAGTCATGGACCGCTGTCTGATCACATGGTGTGCTGGATGCTTGCACATCTTCAGTTGTGTAGTTGCAATAAGAGGCAGATGAACTCCAGATTCACCCTTGGCCTGTCCCCCACTGTTGTGTTTCTGTCTGGACCGTGTTGGTACCTGCTGCCATCACTGATGGGGGGCTGTGCTCTGAGCCGCTGCTTCCCACTCTGTTGTTGTGCATACCATGTAGTGTAACTCCAACTTCTTGCTTTGCCTCCTTGACCATTTTTGCCTGGAAAGGCTGCTTGGTGAAAAGACACCCACACCAAATATGTCCTCATGGCATTTTGCAAGTGTGTTCTTTCAGTGGCTGCTGATGGATTGCTCCACAGCTTCTTCATCTCCTCCTGCCTTTCCTGTTGTGCCTCTCTTCTGATTGCACTGCTTCTCTTTTTGAGACTGTCCCTGTTTCTGCAGCAAACACACATCCTGATCCCATGCCCCCACTGTAACTCAGTATTTCCTGTCTGATTCCTTTGTCTCATCCCCATTCTCCTCACTCCCCAGTCTGCCCTGGCTGTTCCTGTGTGCAGTCTGGCTGCCCTGTAGGGATCTGCCTCTCTGCTGCTGCTCCACCTGCCCCTTCAGCCGAGGTGCTGGTGATCCAGTGCAGTGGGACTGGGGGTTCAGGTGTGTCCTGATTCTTTCAAATTCATACAAGCATCCCACGGGCCAAAGCTGTGACAGCTGCCCAGGCTGTTTGGGGCTTTGACACCGTGCAGTCTCAGCACTTGTAACCCTGGTGCAACAGATCTGCGACCCAAGGAGCAGCCTGTGAAAAGCTCCTCGTGTTTCCTTAAAACAGCAAAGCTCTGCTGCAGGGAGACCAGACAGAGGCATCTCCCTGGAATTATGGGGAAATCACATCTCTCTGAGAATAAAGAAACTGAAAGTTCTTGTGGTTTTAATAAATTTTTGACGTGTTTTAATTGGTGATAGAAGAGAGTGGAGTGTGTTTCTGTGATGCAGGAAATCACAGCGAGTCATCAGAGACCTTTACTGAGCTCAGCTGATGTTACAGGAAATTCCAAATGCCTGGTGTCCTGTTTTTTTTCTAATATTTTGACTTAGAGAAATAGTATCACATAAGTCAAGTTGTTTAAAAATGGATGTTGTAAGTTTATTGGGATAAATTGAAACAGTTCTCATATTCTAACAAATAGTACAAACTTCAGCTCTTCATACACAGCATGGAAACACAATAAATATGTTTGAATCTCAGTCTGGTTCCAAAGAGATTAAGCTGTTTTAAGAAGTTCTTGATGGGAAAACCCAAAAGGGCATTTTGAGAGGGACTAGATCCTGATTTGGTGGTTGAAGTTGTGACTGATGTATGGTTTTCCTAAAAACCCATCTTGGTTATACCTGTGCAGTGTTGGCTGCTGGGGTGTGTTTATCAGACTAACAGTCTGTTCTCTTCTTCCCCCTCATGGTCTTTGAGTGTGGGCAGATTCTGTCCCTTTGTCTATCCTGTTCAGCTCCTGTCACAGTGATTTCTGATCAAAGGAGTAAAACCAGTCGTGCCACTCCGTACAGAAAGCTATTGAACACAATCTCATTCCTTCCCGGATCCACACGTGGCTGCAGCATTCCCATTGGCATAAATAATACCTAAAATCTGAATTTAGCTTTCCCTGGGGGAAAATTCATGTTGTTCCTTAAAAGCTGAGTTTTTACCTTACATTACTGATGTAGAAAGGGCAAAAGGTGATTTTTTTTTTTACCCAAGTGTGAATTAAATCTCAACTACAAAATTGGTTAAAATGGGTTTGTGTGACTGGGATGTATCTTTGTTTTCCTGGGCATTATCTGTTGCTGTAGTGAGTTTCTCAGTAGTTTCACCTTCAGTTTTCCTTCTGTTCCTCGTGTCACTCCCTGCTAGCAAGTCCTGCATTACCAGCTGGGTTCCAGCTGGCTCCCTGGGCACCCTCTGCCACGTTCCTGCTGCTGTTGGCCATAAGCTGGTGGTGGCCACAACGTCACCGTTGCTCCTGGGCCTGCGCTTCCCCTGCTGAGTTTTTTTGAGATAGGACAGTTTATTTGCTATTACAACTGTTGACAGAAATAGGAAGGTGCAGATAAGCACAAGGACTGCAATGATAATGAAGCAAATCACTACAAGAGACTTGTTGTCTTCACATGTTTCCTTGGTCGCTGGACCCTTGGGTGTGCTGGTATTCCTGGGTCCTCCAGCGGCAGAAACTGCACTTGTGGCAGGGGAAGAGGTTGGATTTGGGACCATTGTGGAGGAGAAGGACTGCAGGGTACTTGGCATTTCAAAAGTAGTTACTTTGCTGCTGAAATTGATGCTCAGAGGAGAATTTGTATTGGCTTCTGTTGTGTTCTGGCTCCCACTGAGGTTCTGGCTGATGGGACTCCAGGTTTCCTCTCTTACCCGAGGGTAACCGGTGTGGTTCGCACTCGTTTGCAAACACAGGGAGAAGATCATCGTGACAGGGAGGGCCAGGCCTGGGTTATTGCAGCTCTTGCTCTTCATCCTCCTAGTTAGTCCCCTGCCAAAATACAAGTGGTGGTGTTAGTTTGGCAAGTGCTGGTTCTTAGGGGTTTGGACCAGACTTCTCAGGGAATAGCAGCCTTTCTGGTGGACAGTGTGTGTAAGCTGGCCTCAGTTCTGGTGGATGTAGGACGTGAGTTCAGACACTTGGTTTAGTGAAAGGATAAATTGTCTCCAACTTCTGACAGTTTGGGGTTTGTAGAAAATATATGAATATTAAAAAAGAGGGAAGTGTTTCCTACCACCTGCCCAGGAATGTTGGGGCAGCCTCTGGTAGCTGCTGCTCTCCAGCACTGGCCATGTTACACTCTGAGCTCGTCCCTTCTGCTGCTGCACAGGGGAGGGAGAAACCATGTCAGGTTTACTGCTTCCCACCCCCTGAATGCCCCTGGGCATGGGCACTGGAACCGTGATGGTAGAGATGGCAAGGATGTGCTTTCCTAGCACAGCTGGCCAGAGTACTTTAAAATGCCCAGGAAAATCTTTGTTCTCCAATTTTTCTGCCTTTTTGTACAAAAAGCTATTTACCATAAATGTACTTGTATTTTTCTTCAAATGTGCTACAGATTGTGACTTTTTTTTTTAAAATGCCTCAGATAATTATGCAAATGAGATTAACCATTAGTATGTTCCGTTTCACATTTGGGTGGTATTCAAATTTGTACTTGTTGAATTTGTCTGCAGGGCAGGAAACTGATAGTTTCTGATACTGATGGGTCTGATATGGAGATAAAAACCTCAAAATAGCAGCGAGGAGTGAGCCAAGCTGTGACCCATGGGAGCAGCCAGGCTGCAGCTGAGGCTGGGCCGTGCAGGAGGGGACAGCACAGGCACAGCCAGCGCTCCCAGCACTGCACACTGAGCCCACTGTTCATTGTGGTGGCCCAGACCACATGGGCCTTCCTTAAAAATCAGCAGGCTGATGGCGTGAAGGGCTCCGCTCAAAATCACCAGAGCAAAGGAACTGATCTTTAAAGAGCTGATTTGCTTTTTGGTTCAACCCTTTGTGTCTGGGTATTGACAGAGACTCAGTACCCAGCGAGATCCAACAACAGAGCTAAGTAGTGACTGTCACTGCTAATTCCTTGGAGTCTGGTCGTGAATACCCTTTAACATGACTGAAAATACAGTTTATCAGCTTCCTTGATTCAGTTGAGATAGTATTTCTACAGTTTGTTACTATTCTTGAGTTACTTAAACTTCTTTAAAAATACTTTTGCATATAATTTTCTACAAAATATAAGAAACTTTAAAGTGCAACTTAAAATAGGAGAAGGAAAATGGGTACTTACCTTGCCAAGATGTGATCAACAGAAAATGAGTGTTTCAGATATTTAGTCCTTTAACAATAAAGTTTCTTGGTGCATATGTTTGCTCTTAGGGTGCAAATGGCCATCAATGTGCAGCAAGGAGCTTTGGGCAGTGCTGGTGTTTTTTAGGCAAGTGTGTAACTGAAATGACATGTCGTGTGCTCTGCGTGGGGAACTCAAACCACAGTGATGATGACACACTTCCCTTTGGTGACAGCCAGCCCATGGCAGTCGGAGGGGAAAGCACCGACCTGCCCAGCTCAGCTCTCGGGGCCACAGGAAGGGACGGGGACAAAGCCCTTGGGCAGACGAGTGTTCCGTGTCCATGGGATCTCCTGCAGTGTCCTGCACTGGGGTTACCGTCACCGCTGCCCCAGGACCCTGCAAGCTGCTTCTGTGCCTGCAGAACAGGGGCAGGGATTTCAAAGTACCTTAAATTTTCATGAGCTACTGATGTATTTATCTGTAATTAATTATTCTCAGTAGAACTCTGTCTGCTGTGTGAACTCTGGAGATGTGGTTTAGGCTGATGTGTTGTCCAGGCTCAAAATTCAGAGGATCTTTCAATGAGAAAAATTATTCTTAATTATGTGAACGTTTTTCTGGGTAGAGTTATTTTTGTAGACAAATCCTCTGTAGTCCTCAGAGGACTGACCATTCTTGGAAACACTCCCCCAAGCATTAGAGTGTTGCAGGATATAGCAAATGGAATGGGTCTGATTCGAAAAAGTTGGTGTGTAGATGTTTATTTATTCTTAATTAAAACTTCTGAGATAAGTATATTTTTCCACACACAAAAATAGATATAATTTGAATGCCTAAAGTGGTAACAAAGTTAGAGGCACTTTTATTTTTAAAGAAACTCTTGAGCTCTTTCCATGCAATCCAGTTTTGATCCAGCTGCTGCTCCAGCACGGCTTTGATTGTTCTCTCAGTTATCAAACCTGCTGGAGGTCGTGGGGCACTGCAGGGGGAGGTTGAGTTAAACCCCAGGCCGAGCTGCAGCACTCTGGGCACCAAGTGTGCCCGGGCTGGCCCTGGGGAGCAGTGGCAGGGCCAGGGTGGTGCCGCTGCGGTGGCTCTGGGTGTGCAGGCTCAGCCTGGCCGTGGTGTGAGCGCCGTTCATGGACCTCAGAGTTTTGTGCTGTGGCTCTCAGTTAACCCCAGCAATGTCTGTCTCATCCCACAGGTTCAAGACTGGGCAGATCAATGGCGATCTGCTGATCTACCACGTGCTGCTGACCCTGAAGCCATACTATGCAAAGCCATACGAAATCGTGGTGGACCTCACACACGCTGGCCCCAGTAATCGCTTTAAAACAGACTTTCTTTCTAAATGGTTTGTAGTTTTTCCAGGCTTTGCTTATGAAAATGTCGCAGCAGTTTTTATTTATAACTGTAACTCTTGGGTCAGAGAATACACCAAATACCATGAAAGACTCTTGACAGGTCTGAAAGGAAGCAAAAGGCTTGTTTTCATAGACTCTCCAGGGAAGCTGGCAGAGCACATCGAACACGACCAGCAGAAGCTCCCAGCAGCTACCTTGGCTTTGGAGGAGGACTTGAAAGTGTTTCACAATGCTCTCAAACTGGCTCATAAAGACACCAAAGTTTCTATTAAAGTAAGTGCTTTTAATGCTGTTTCCAGTGATTTTTGTGTCTCTTAGTTCTTCCATTTTGAGGAGAAATCACAAGTTTCTAGTATGCCCCTTTAAGAAGTACAAAATTTCATACGTTTATCTTTTATGAAATCAGGAGTGTCAGGCTTTTCTCTTTGTATGATTAACAGTAGGTGCTGAGCCAGTTTTCTGTTGTCTTTCCAAGGTTGGGTCGACAGCTGTGCAGGTGACATCGGCAGAGCGAACACGAGTCCTGGGCCAGACGGTGTTTTTAAATGACATATACTACGCCTCTGAAATTGAGGAGATCTGTCTTGTTGATGAGAACCAGTTTACCCTGACCATTGCCAACCAAGGCACACCGCTCACCTTCATGCATCAGGAGTGTGAAGCCATCGTGAGGTCCATCATTCACATCCGGACACGGTGGGAGCTGTCCCAGCCCGACTCCATCCCTCAGCACACCAAAATCCGTCCCAAGGATGTCCCCGGAACGCTGCTCAACATAGCACTGCTCAACCTGGGGAGCTCAGACCCCAGTCTGAGGTACAGAGCTTTGAAATCAATACCAGCTGGGGTCAAAATGTGGGAATTCTCTCCGAGGCTTCCTTAGTGTTAGAAAATCTAATCATTTTTCTGCCACCACAGCTCCATAAAAAGTCATTTCTAATGAAGGAAGATTGGGTTTCTATAGGTGAAGAAAGGCACACACAGTGAGAGGAACTGAAGTCATGTAGGAAACCTAATTTCTCTTTATAAGGAGAAATACTTCTGCCTTGCACTGTATGTTCATTGGGTACCCTTGATTTCCATGATGTTGAACCTGTACCCTTAGAGCAGGCTCATGATCCGTGTCCCATCGGGCTGCTCTGGGCTCTGTGCTGGCCAGGGGCACTCTGGGCCCTGGGCAGGCTCTGCCCAGCAGCTCAGGTGCACCTGGAATGATTTAGGATTTCCTGGAGCTACAAACCATTCTGAGAAGTCCCATACAAAGCCCTTCAAGCACACTCTGTAACCTCAGCAGAAATTGTTCAGAGCAAGTGGAAGAATAATTTCTTCTTCTGTTTCTCCAAGGCAAGTGTGTTTGTCTCTGAATTGTGACTGGTGCAGGGGAATGTAGTGCAGGATTTAGGTGTAATTTCTGTTATAGATTTGGGTTTTAAAATGGATGTGTTTTTTAAAATGTCAGGGCTGCTACTGCGATGAATAATGTGTATATTTTCAAATGTACAAGAAAACTCCTACAAATCATATTGTTTGCTTTGTTACAGGTCTGCTGCCTATAACCTCCTATGTGCCTTAACCTGTACCTTTAATTTAAAGATTGAGGGCCAGTTGCTGGAAACTTCAGGTCTGTGTATTCCTGCCAACAACACACTATTTATTGTATCTATCAGTAAGACACTTGCAGCAAACGAGCCACACCTCACCTTGGAGTTCTTGGAGGAGTGTATTTCAGGATTTAGCAAATCCAGTGAGTAACTCTAGTTAGTTTCTTAATGCTCACTCTGAATTTGAAAGGGTTTAGGTTGGTAGCTGTCTAGCTTAGTCACTTAATCTTACTGAGTCACAGCAAGTTTAAATTGCAGATTGTTCTTGGAGCTGGTTTGCAGATGCTCCATTTCTATGTCCCTGTAGCCCAGCAGAATAATGCCCTGAAGGCAGGCAGTTTCCCAGACTGGATGGCAGCTCTTGGAACAAATCTTTTCACATTTGAATGTGCCCTCTCCTTTCTCCTGAAACAGATTAAAAGGCAGCTGCCTTTTTTTTTTTTTTTTTAACTTTGAAATTAATGTTAAAACAAGGTTTACTGGACATCTCGTTCATTTAGAGAGGTCAGTTCAGCCAGAGAGATCACAGTACAAATGATTCCTTTCGTATCCCTGTGAGAGTTTGTACAGTGATCACTTTGGGTAGATTTCTGTCGGGTTGTTATTGATGCACCAGAAGTAGAGAATATTGCAGAACAAAAACCTAAACTTGAGGTGCATGAGAGTGAAGGGTTGAACTCTGGAATATACATCCACAGAAGAGTTACAGGGTTCTTCAGGCATATCAGAACTAATCTTTTCAGAGGATCCTTCCTCTCTGGCTCAGTTGCTCTCTTTGTGCCATCTCTTTTTTCCAGGCATAACACAGCTCTGACTTTACTGTTGGGAGCTGTTTAGAATATTTTCCAAAGATTAAAAAGGCATTAACTTAAGTAGTCATGCCTAGCACTGAATGTGCACATTTTTAGGTCACATCTTGTAACAAGATATCAAAATGTCACCATCTCCTTGCCAGATGCCTGCAGATGTTTCTTGGGTGTCATTATTAGAGTTACTAATGTTTCTTTTTGAAGCTTCTCTGTTTGCCCAGTGTTCTTTGCTCAACTCTGACAGTAATTATTTTGGACAGCAAAACTGAAAGGAAAAGGGCTCACAAAGAATGATTTGTGAATAGAGGCCAGTGCTGGCTCTGTGTTACAAGGTGCATTTCTCTCTCAGGTATTGAACTGAAACACCTGTGTCTGGAGTACATGACTCCCTGGCTGTCCAACCTGGTCAGGTTCTGCAAGCACAACGACGATGCCAAGCGCCAGCGGGTCACTGCAATTCTGGATAAGCTCATAACAATGACAATAAATGAGAAACAGATGTATCCCTCCATTCAGGCTAAGATATGGGGAAGTCTTGGACAGGTACAAATTCTGCACCATTTGTAAACAGATTGTAGAGTTTTTAACCACTTAAATGTTAATGCAGAGGAATAAAATGGCTCTTAACTAGCCCCTTGTCTGTGAGCCACATGGAGAATAGTGAGCAGGTTCTTCTGAAGTTTCCACTCTGTAAAATACTTCATAAAATCATTACTGAACTCTGGGTTCTAGAAATGTGTTCCTGGCCTTACTGAGAATTGGAAATTAGAAGCTGTTGGTGTTAGCAGTAATCATTTGATCAGAAGCCCACGATGGAGGGTCTGGGTGGAAAGAGCAAAGCACTGACACTGAGGGGTATGAGGCCCATGGCACTGAACAAACACAGTTTTTTCTATTTGCACTTTTGAAACAGAAGCGTTTTGATTCCCATCCTGTTGATGATTAGCTTAACACTGAGCCAAGTTCTGCCCTCACCCTCCCTGCAAAGTAAAGACCGTGAGGAAAGTAAAACTGACATCACACATGCCATGCAAGGAGGAGGTATCTGGGCCAGTGTGCTTCCCATGGCCAGGCTCCCCCACGAGCTTTGCACCAACTTCCTCCTTGTCACACTATTTTAGTGATTTTCTTTTTTAACTGTCTCCAAACTGCTGTAGCCCAGCATCAAAGAGCTGCTCTTGGAGAATGTGGGAGACCTGACAAATGGATGCATGAGTGGGATTTTTTGCTTGTTCAATTGGCAAAAAAACCCGAAACAAAACAAAAAACCCAACTCATTTTGAAAGGTTAACTCACACTGTGAGCAATATGACTGTTATGTCCAGTATCAGAGGCAGTCAGCAGGTAAATATGGAGAACATAAAAGATGAAATATTTCACAGCAGCCAGAATTGCAACCAGTTTGGATGAAGTGATGGGAGCTGAGTTTGAACCAGTACTGAAATAGCAGCAATGTTTGCCTGTGTGTTACCTCTAGAGTGAGGGTTCTCTGTGCTCTCAGACAGATCAGCTTCTTACCTGCATATATATTGAATATCTTTTCATTTAACATGAGAAGACAGTTGTTTTACTGGCAGCCATATTCACACACGACACTGCTCTAAGCAAGCACTTAGACAGATGAGACCTTGCTTATTTTCTTGGAAGTACGTTTTTCTCTGCTTCAAATCTGGTTCCTTCTTACTGTGTTCAGCATTTTATAAATAGTTATGCTTTTAAAGTGGAAACTAAAATAAAAATACTGCAAAATAAATTATAATTTCTCCACAGTACTGAAGCATTTTGAGTAAAACCTGATGGAATTCAGCTTTATGGTTCTAAAATTCACATGAGGCTTTTTGCCAAAAGAATAATGAGTCACTAAAACTGATGCTTCAGTTTGTGATAGTTTTGCATCTTCAGCTAAAGAAATGTACAATTGCTGATTTCAGTTGTGCTTCGCTGTGGGAAACCCAAATTAACCTGCCTGGTGAGAGAGGATTTCTTTTCTGTCTCAGATAACAGATCTCCTGGATGTAGTGCTGGACAGCTTCATCAAAACCAGTGCCACGGGGGGCTTGGGCTCCATCAAAGCAGAGGTGATGGCAGACACTGCTGTGGCACTGGCTTCTGGCAATGTCAAACTCGTGTCAAGCAAAGTGAGTCCCCTCTTTGCCTTAATTTCCTTTTATGTAATAATTTCAACTTACTAATGTGACACTGAGATGCCTTCTGATCTCAGTACAGGCAGTGATGCAAAAACCATGATAAAAGAGGTTCCAAGCAATAGAATAATTCCAGTGTTGAACTGTGATGGTTCTTACTGAACTCTGAGCTGTGCTCCTCATTTGAGTACAACGGAATGGTTGCTCTCTTTGCAGGTGATTGGGAGGATGTGTAAAATCATCGACAAGACTTGTCTGTCCCCCACTCCCACGCTGGAGCAGCACCTGATGTGGGATGACATTGCTATCCTGGCACGCTACATGCTGATGCTGTCCTTCAACAACTCCCTGGATGTGGCTGCTCACCTCCCCTACCTCTTCCACGTGGTCACTCTGCTGGTGGCCACAGGTCCCCTTTCCCTCAGAGCTTCCACTCACGGTCTCGTCATCAACATCATTCACTCTCTGTGCACTTGCTCACAGCTTCACTTCAGTGGTGAGTTTTTTTGGAGTTTCAGTGAAGATGATTGCTTCTTAATTTGTTTAGGAAATATTTGAGTTGTCATTCTCTCTGCAAACTGTTCTGAGAGTCTGAAAATAGTGCTTTGTAGCTCAGCTTGAATACAAATCAGAATGAGGATATGATCAAGAAGAAATGAGTATGGAATTAAAAAAGATCTCATTTAGAGCAGATGCATAATGCAAATTGTTTGTATAATTTCCTAAAACCCATTATGCTATGGGTTTTAGAAAAAGAAAAGAAAGTACCAGTGAGTTTCTGATGAGGCAAAGGAGAAAACACAGTCTGTGCTAAAACTGACTGATGTGCATCTTGTGAGGGGTTGCATAAGGTGGTAACAAAAATATCAGTTACATAAGGGAATTGTGAAGCTGTAGTGTAAAACAGGTATTTTATCCACTGTTGTATTTTAACAGTCCTAAAATAACAGGTATTAGCAATTGGCCACATCTTGCCCCAGAAGCACAGTGTAGAACCAGGCTGGATTTTGTGCAGAAAAAAAATTCCAAGTTTCTGTAATCTTGTCCTTGTTTAGGTATCTGAAAGCTGGAGTTGTGTCTGTGTGTATGGAAGGGGTGAGTGGGGGCACACACACACACACACACACACACACATGGAGAGGGGCTTTGGCACAGGGCCTGGGAGCCTCCCTGGAGCCCTCCTGCTTGCACAGGGGCTTGGAGTGCACTGAGATAACCTGCAAGGGCAGAACTGTAAAAATAGTCAGTGCTAGTAGCAGGCCATCATTTTCTTCTGCTTTGTGGCTTTCTTGATGTCAGTGCCAGAGCCAAAAGCAGAGTTTGCTGCAGTTGGAACCTGCAGTTCTGTTGGTATTTCAGAACAGGAACGCTCTGTGTTTCCCTTTCCTGAATCAGTGAGAGGAGAAGTCACAGAACCACATCTTTAAGAAAGTTGCTTTGTACCTGTTTTTAGAATCCCTCTTCCTTGTGCCTGGTTTCAACAATCAGTGCAAGGGAGCACAGCTGTTGTGGCGTGTTTGGGGAGCAGTAGCAAAGGGAACAGCGTTGGAACGTGCAGTGACCTGCAGGCTGTTTATCTGCTCCGCTGTTCCTGGGAGGGTGAGGCCCTCAGAGTGTTAAAATGTGGATTGGAATTTCCAAGGTGTAAATCTTCCTCGTATGTGAATCTTTGTTCAACAGAGGAGACCAAGCAAGTTTTAAGGCTGAGCTTGACTGAGTTCTCCCTGCCCAAATTCTATCTGCTGTTTGGGATCAGCAAAGTGAAGTCGGCCGCGGTCATCGCCTTCCGCTCCAGCTACCGCGACCGGTCCTTCTCGCCCGGCTCCTACGAGAGGGAGACCTTCGCTCTGACCTCGCTGGAGACCGTCACCGAGGCCCTGCTGGAGATCATGGAGGTGCGTGGGGTCACAGGGAGGTGTCCCTGGGGGAGCAGGCACTGCTGCCCGTGCTGCAGGCTGGCAGTGCAGTGACAGGACCCTCCTGGCATGGCTAGAGACAGCCAAGAGCTGCCTTCTGAGAGTAAACTGCTGCACATCTGAATTTAAAAAGTACTTCTTCTTAACGTCACATGTATTCAAACAGTCTCATTCTTTTTAGGCTTGTATGAGGGATATTCCAACGTGCAAGTGGCTGGACCAGTGGACTGAACTAGCTCAAAAGTACGTCGTAGGTCTCACACCCTGCCTGTGTAGCACACCCAAAATTCTCAGCTTTTTGTCGTATGTATTTTTTGTTTGTTGTATATGTGTTGTTTAATGCAGTGTCCTCTGTTTCTTCATAGGTTTGCATTCCAGTATAACCCCTCCCTGCAGCCAAGAGCACTGGTTGTCTTTGGCTGCATAAGTAAACGTGTGTCTCACGGACAGATAAAACAAATCATCCGAATTCTCAGCAAGGTGTGTGGGGCTGTCTGTTTTTCTTTGTGACTCATAAAGTAGCTGATTTTAGCTCTATCTTCCCATCAAATATAGAACTTGGCATAATTTGAGGATAAATATATTTTTCAAGCATATTTTTGTATACAACTGATTGGAAATACACTTTCCGTAGGCCAAGCTGTTTATTTTGAATTGATTTGGTGGCAATAAATTCTATTACTGCTGTGACTTGTAGAGTAACAATAGGGCTCAGTATTGAGTTCAACATTTGAGACAGAAGTGGATTCAGCAGTCAATTATTTAAATAAATGAGAAATTTTCTGTTAAGGTATTTACCTGCATTCCATTTTTCTGAAGAAGGTTGTGTTCCATAGCAAGTGAACAGTGTGCTAGATATGTGTCCTAACTTTAAGCATTTTATTAGAGGTTTATGGACATAAACTTTAATTGAATGGTATCTAAATGATAAAAGAGCTTTTCTCCAACTCTTACACCCTACTCTGCACCCTGACTGTTCTGGTGCCCACTGTGCAGCTGCTGTCAGCAGCACATGTATCACTGCTGTGTAAATCTCCATTTGGAAAAGTTCTTGAGAATTGGTGTAAAATGAGCTCAGGCTTTGTAAATAATTGAGAGCTGCAATTATTGTGTAGAGCTTTGATCTTCTTTTTACAAAGCAAAATGTAATTATGGTTGTATTTTTAATTACTCTCTTTTCTTACAAAAAGGGACTTGAGAGCTGTTTAAAAGGCCCTGATAATTACAATAGCCAAGTTCTAATAGAAGCCACAGTAATAGCCCTCACCAAGCTGCAGCCTCTTCTTAACAAGGTAAATAACTGTCTTTTTAGAGTAAACAGAGAATGTATTTTATAAATTAAAATAATAATTGTGGGTATAATCTGAGATAAGTGTTGGGGTATCTCAAGTTCCCACTTCACTGCTGTGACTCACGCTTGGAAGTACCACATATGGGACATGTGGCAGATTGTCTGTGGGGCCTGTGCAAAGGCTTTGGAGATGCTGCAGGATGTTCTGTTCTGCTTCCCCAAACTGGGCCATGGCCATGTGGGCAAGGGCTGTTCCAGGCTTGCTTCCCACAACATTTCCAGCCCTGGCTTTCAGATGTCTGATTGCTGGTACATCCCTTCGTCAGGGCTGTAAGAAATGGCAAGGCCTGGTTTGCTGTGAGTTCACCCAGCTGATGGTACTGCCAGGTTCCCTCTTGAGCAGCAAACCAATAGGTACAAGTACATCTTGTTTTGTTGGAATGGATGTGGCTGAGGGCAAAACCTGCTACAAGGGGGACAAACCCACCCGTCAGTCCTGGTTGTTGTTCACCTACAGGAACTGTCTCGAAAGTGAAATGGTGGCTCCTTCTCTCCCCTGCAGGACTCCCCTATGCACAAGGCTCTCTTCTGGGTGGCCATGGCAGTGCTGCAGCTGGATGAAGTGAACCTGTACTCGGCAGGAACAGCACTGCTGGAGCAGAACCTGCACACCCTGGACAGCCTGCGGGTGTTCAATGACAAGGTGAGCTGGCAGCACTCAGCCCTGGCTGACGCTTCAGTGATGTCAGCAGTTAGAGCTGCTAAAGAAGGGGAAAAAAGCCCAACTTTGTCCTTGTGGACACTGCTTAAACAACTAAACCTGAAATTTGCATTAGAAATTGTTTCATTTGAGTGATATCAACAGAAGAACTAAGATGTGGAGATGAGGCTTTTATTGCTCTGTTTGAAACTGAAACAGAAATGTCCAGATGTGATCTGTGAGAAAATGTCTGATATTTTCCTGTGACCTCTTAAAGGAACTATTTCATCACTTAAAAAAAGTAACTTCCAGTGAGGTACTCTTCTATTTTATTTCCTTTGGGTCAGAGCCCAGAAGAGGTGTTCATGGAGATCAGGAGGCCACTTGAATGGCACTGCAAGCAAATGGATCATTTTGTTGGGCTAAATTTCAACTCCAACTTCAACTTTGCACTAGTGGGACATCTCTTGAAAGGTAAGAGTGTATACTGCTGTTCCTTTTAGATGAACATTCTTAATTTGGAAATAAAAACAAGTCCAATATAAAGGGCACAAACAGGGTGGTGGATTTTAAGTAACTTGGATTACAGAGCAGATGCAGATGGCTAAAGGACTTTACCAGGTTTCCTTTATACATGTCCTACAAAGGTCTTTAATGCTATAAATTCTGAACTGTCCCAGGATGTGGGGATTCATTTGCTGCAGTTCTTTACTTCTTCCTCCGGTGTCTCTCTCTGTGTTTACCTGCACTCAGGCTCACTGTTCCTTTTAGAAGACTGATTTGTGGGGCAATAGATACAATGCATGCACAAAGATTTGAAATTATGCAGTTTTGAGGGATGGGACAGAAAGAATTAGTCTTAAATATGGAATTTCTGTCTGCACTGTGCTTGCTTCCTTACCCTTAAGACAAAATGTGTCCTGAGAAGCTGCTGGAAAATATTCATAAACATTTTCAAAATATTAATACTGCAGAAATATGGGTTCAGGAATTAAATACAATAATTTGTTTCTTAGGGTACAGGCATCCTTCTCCTACCACTGTAGCAAGGACAGTGAGGATTTTGCACACACTCCTCGCTCTGGTTAACAAACACAGGAACTGTGACAAGTTCGAGGTGAACACCCAGAGCGTGGCTTACCTGGCAGGTAAAATGAACCAGACTTCCTTCTGAATCTGTGCTGATGGAAAAGCAGTGGATTATTTGGGAATTCCTTCAGGTTTAGGTTGTTAAAATTGTACCAGCATAAAGGAAACTTGTAACTGGAGGGGTGGACAGGAGTGGGCAGGGGGGGTTCCTCAGGAAAGCTTTTTGGGGACTGAGAGCTTTGCCAGCACAGCACCTGCTCTGCAGCTTTGGAAATCCTTCAGGGGGGCTGAAGGTTTCTTGGTGTAAATACTGAAGGGTGTGTCTTATAGCATTCAAATTTCTGGTGGTCTAGAAATAGAAATGGTGACATGTGAGGGCCAATGTGTAAATCTTGTCATTGTAACCGGATGGGGAGTATAATTCTTTTTAAACTACCTGCTTTTAATCTGTACATTTCATAAGGTGTAAATACAGCTCAGTGGTCTTCTTTGGGCTCAGTAAAACCTGTACATTGATGGAATATTGTTTGTGTTGTTCACTGCATTTGCAGCTCTGCTGACAGTGTCTGAGGAGGTTCGGAGCCGCTGCAGCCTAAAGCATAGGAAGTCTCTCTTACTGACAGACGTTTCGATGGAAAATGTTCCCATGGATACCTATCCCATACATCACAGTGACACTAGCTATAGGTTGGTTGTCTGACTTCTGGATAAGTTATCCAAATGGCAATATCTGTCTCCTTTAGGAAGTGACCTAGAGATAACCTGTGGTGTGTTGAGGGCTGAACCCCCACTGACAGCGCTGAGTTCCTGGGCTGTGACTGCTTCCTGCTGCTCCCACTGTGATCAGGAGTCAGAGACAAATTTGGGCCTGGAATTCATACAGATTTAATTTTCAGATCCATGAAACTGTTTCAGAGCTTAACTGCTCTGGAGGCTGTTACACTTTGTGCTGGCATCTTTCTACAAACCTGATCTTTTTCATTTTAATTTTAGAAGAAAGTTATTTCTTATTTTCTTATTAATATTAGAAGAAAGTTTTGTTTGTGCTTTTAAGAGCTCCAAGGCATGTACTTGTCTGTGCCACTGGAAAACCCTGACACCTTATTACAGCCTGTCTGTGTGCAGCCAGAGACATCAGCCAAGGAATCAGCCTGGAAGTGCCATGGAGAGCCTGTGTCTCTCAAAGGGAGCACTTTGCTCAGGATCTCTATTTTTAGCACTGAGTGTGGAGTAGCTGATTATTAAATATGTTGCATCTTTCCCCATAGGCTGATTTGCTTGTGTTCTTTTCATTACTTTATATTTTATCTCCTCAGCATTATGTTCACATCAGATTGTTTGGTTTCACTAGCTCAGGCATTTTTGCAAGCAGAGTAATTACTGTGTCTTGGTCCGTGTTTAGGGGGAATGAAGTTGGTAGGAAAGATGGGTTTAATAAAGGATAGTTTGGCTACTTGAAAAACTTGGGCCGAAACGTGCAGAGTTTTAAAGATTTTCTTAATTTGATTTCTTTGCCCTTGCAGGACACTAAAGGAGAACCAGCCCTGGTCATCCCCCAAGGGGTCAGACAGACACCTGGCTGCCAACTACCCGACCGTGGGACAGATCAGCCCTCGCACCCGGAAATCCATGAGCCTGGACATGGGGCAGCCTTCACAGGCCAACACTAAAAAGCTTCTAGGTTATTTAAGATAACTATGTTACTGATTTTTCTACAGAATACCCTGGGAAGCGTTGCTGGAGAAAAATTATTCTCTCATGGTGGTTCTGACTCCAAGGGCTTAGTCCCGATTCACAGGAATATGTGCAGTTTCTGCAAAATACAAATTGCAGGACACTGGACAGTTAAAGAGGACTCAGTTCTTTTGGTCATGAAGGGGGGGAGCAAGAGTGACACTCAAAATGTGCATGTGAAGTGAAAAAGGGAGAAAAGGAAGAAAAAAATATATTCCAGTCACTAAAGATTCCTCGTGCCAATTTTCTGCTACCAAGTCCCATCCAGCAAACCCAAGAAGTGAATACTTAGCTCAGCTACTCTACTGAATGCTCTGGTTTGTGCTAGAGATGGTCCCAGAACACTGGAGATGGTTTATAAGCAATCTGATTTGTGCTCATGGCTTCTCAGGGCATCATGCTTACAAACAAAGTCTTTTCTCAGAGGAGCAAGCTGAGCTGCTTGGCAGAGCTTGTGGGAGCCCTTTGGCCTTACACAGGTGGCAGAAGAGGGGCATTTCCTCCATTGCAGCCCTGTTACTGCTTCCTTTTCAGTAACCACGTGGCATGTGTGCTCAGTGTGGTGCCCAGGGGTCCATGGCATGCCCACCTGACTAACTGCATGTTCTCCTCGTGTGTGTTGTGAAGCACTTTGGAAACTGTGATGGAGAGCGGCATGGTGTGACCGTCCTGTCTGTCCCATCCCTGAGAACGGGAAAATGTCCCCAGATTCCTGGCAGGACACGGTAGAGAGGGGAGTAGCTTGGCCAGAAAATCAGAAGAAGTTAGAAAATGGATTTAGGTTTAATGTTTTTAATTGCCTGATAAATTGTTTTTAGGTACAAGGAAAAGTTTTGACCATTTGATATCGGACACAAAGGCTCCTAAAAGGCAAGACATGGAATCTGGAATCACAACGCCTCCCAAAATGAGGAGAGTAGCCGAAAATGATTATGAAATGGGTGAGAAACAGGACTAACATTTTAAGAATAATACGAGTTATAAAGGCTTTGTATATCTATACAAAGGATTATTTCTAAATTGAGTGTTTATTTACCGAGGTTATCCAAGGTAAGGGAGAAGCACCTTTCTTAGCAGTGCTTCTGCAGGGTGCAGCCTTCATATCAGTGGCAGCTGAGGCTGGAATTGGAGCTGCTCAGTTTACAGGTGCAGAGTCAGGGGCAGCTCCAAAGTCCTGCATATAGGAGTGCAAGGAAATAAATAACATTTGGCTTGTTATAAATTAATACGCCCCAGCTGCAGATTCCTGCAGGAGATGGAATGTGACCTGATGCCTGGAATGCCTCTCTTCATCTTCTCCCCCATCTGCTTCCTGTGCCCCCACCCCCAATTGCAATGCAAGACCAGGGTTCTTCTCTTGTATCTGCCTGACCCCGAATTTGGTACTTACACCCCTGGGCCTGTATTTCACTGACAAGGAAATTGGGGTTTTTGTTTGCCATCTGATGCCACATCCCATGTCCTGGTCCGGTGCTGCTCTAGTCCAGCACACTCGGTGCGTTCGCCTCGCTGAAGGGGCCGGTGAACTCGGAGGTTTGCACATGACTGAGTCTGTTGTGCAGGAGCTGATCCTGTCTTGCTTTGGGTTTATTTTGCTCTTCTCTATCTGGCAGAAACCCAGAGAATATCACCACAGCAACACCCACATCTCCGGAAGGTCTCTGTTTCCGAGTCAAATGTCCTCCTGGATGAAGAAGTTCTGACTGACCCAAAAATTCAAGCTCTGCTGCTTACAGTTCTTGTAAGCTTTCTTCTATGTATTGCCTGCAATTTTCTGATGTCCTTCTGGCTCCAGTGAAGCAAATGTGTTCCTTGGAGTGTTTCCTGGCTGAGTTTTATCATAAACTAATTTTATATAACAAACAATTTTTAATATATTATAGTTTAAAAGAAATGAAAATTGTTGGAATCCCAGCATAATTCAGTTTAAAAGTCATTAAATAGTAATGTGGTACAGTCTGATAGACCTTCCTTCAGCTGCACCAATGCAGTTCCCAACCCACAGACAATTCAGACAGACTCAGTTGGACACTTGTGTCCAAACCCAACTAGATGAATTTATTGCCAAAATAGAGGCTGTTACCAACTGGTTTTGCTTTTTCCTAGTACAGACATAAGTGAATCTTTTGTAAGGCTGCTTTGTGCTGGTGAGAGCTGCCAGGCCTTTCCCTGCAGAGGGGCTGTGGTGCCCAGTGGCTGATGGAGTGCTTTCCCCGCAGGCCACGCTGGTGAAGTACACCACGGACGAGTTCGACCAGCGCATCCTCTACGAGTACTTAGCAGAGGCCAGCGTTGTCTTCCCAAAGGTCTTTCCTGTTGTGTAAGTACCTGAAGTTCTGTTGGAATAACTCTGTACCTGGCCCTTCCTCTGAAGGTCTCTGGCCCAGGACAGGCACCTACAAGGCCCTTGCTCGTGTGTAGGGTACGAGCTGCAGGCAGTCCGTGGCTGGTTGGGTTTAATTTGTCCCCCCAGGTGTGTTTCAAAACTGATTTAAAGCCTTCTGCAGGTACTCTGGATGTATTTCTTTAGATATCTCTTGTAGTTTTGCTGGAGCAAATACGTGTAAAGGGAGCCCAACTGCCAGAAATGAAGGTGAGCAGATGAGCACCATTTAAAGGGATGCTGCCTTGTGCTGGCTGTAGAAAGTGATGGTCAAAGCCCACACGAGTTCTGTGAGTTACTGAAACCACGATTGGCAGCAACTGGCATTGGCCTTAAAACCTCCAGCGTGCCCGAGACCTGCAGGGGAGCTCAGTGGGACAGAGCTCCAAAGAGCTGCTTTGGAACTGGGGCTCTGACAGGAACACAAATCCAGGGAAGAGTTTTTGCTCCAAAATAATTAAAATATTTGCAATTTCAAGTGCTGGGGAAAGGCTTTAGTGGGTTATATGGTTGATTATGGTTATATTATTGAAAGTGCTACCCATTGTTAGAGTCCTCCTGGAACACTGGGAATTGTGTTCTGGAATCACTGAGGGTGTAAAACGCCCACCTGAACTGCTGGTTACTAAAGTCAGTTTGGAACCGCAGATTTATTTTATTTAATGCCAAAAAAATAAGCCACTTCTCTTTTCTTCAGGCATAATTTATTGGACTCCAAGATCAATACCCTTTTATCGCTGTGCCAGGATCCAAACTTGTTGAATCCAATCCATGGGATTGTGCAGAGTGTTGTCTACCATGAGGAGTCTCCACCCCAGTACCAAACATCTTATCTGCAGAGTAATTATTTTCCCCTTTGTTTCAAAACTGCTGTATTTTGAGTGACATTTACTACTGAAAATGTTTCCAAATTGCAGCCCTCCTGGACTAGCCAGTCAGGCTGGTGTGGCAGCTCTCCAGCTTCAGGTATCTGAGGAAAAGCAAGAGTTTGCAGATTAAAAATAGTCCTGACATGAATATTGGAACTGCTGCAGTTGTGCACCAAATATTAAAAGTATTTCACTATCTATGTGAGTAAAAGATGTTGAACCTCAGGGTTCTGTTTCCTCCAACTTAAAGAAACACAGAATGTGAGTGGTGGTGACAGATGATGAACTTTGTTATCCTCATTAATTAGGGGTTGATTTAAGTACTGGTAAATTCCTTAGTGCAGTGTTTGGGTTTCAGGGCCCAAGCTCACTTGAACTGTGACACTTAAAACCTAAACGTGTTTTTATGGTCCTTAGTCAAAAACTTCCCAGGAAGATCTGTAAGAAGCAGGTTACAGTTGAGAAAAACTTAAATGCTGACACAATTTTGGAACTGAGATGTGGAATCACACGGTCAATTTACCTTTTAAAATGAGGGAGCACCCTCTGGTCATTGTGTGTCAGTGAGAGCCGGGCTTTGAGGGTGATGTTCCATTTGTTGTTGCAGGTTTTGGATTCAATGGGCTGTGGAGGTTTGCTGGCCCCTTCTCCAAGGTAAGAGCTCTGTGCTCAGGAGTGTTTGGCCTTTCTGGGGCCCGTTGGTGCTGCAGGAAAGATGCACAGAATTGCTCTAAGCAAGCAGAAAGCTGTCAGACTCACTCCTTTGGCTAAACCCAGTTCTGAGCCTGCAGCAGGGGCTTTGACAGACTCAGATAAACAACCAGAGTTGGGTAAAAGCAGTCAGGTGTGTAAAGGCACCTTTTCCTGCTCCCAGGGTCACTTTATTACAAGTATCTTACAGTGTAAAGGGTTAATTTGCTAAGAAAGGTGATTCCATAAGGTTGTGTGGCCAGCCATCCCAGGGAGGAGTGGCTGAGCAGGGAAGTGGCTCAGGGGCAGAGCTTCCAGGGCAGTGTCAGGTGGCTCTGCAGCTCAGTCCATGGGGAAAGAGCCCCCCTTCCTGCCCCTGGGCTCCCACACACTGAAGTTACACCTACAAGTGGTCTTTAATGTGCACATCTAGATTGGTCTGCAAAAGACCACAAATCAGTTTTTACAGATACACCAAATGCTTTTTAAAATCTCCAGGCAAAGCAGTGGGATTTCAGCGTGAGCTCTGCAGCAAAGCTCACACCGACAGGAAAGTACAAAGAAAACAACAATCTTTTTTTTTTCCCCACCCATCTCCCGCAGCAAAACCAAATCCCAGACTATGCTGAGCTCATAGTGAAGTTCCTTGATGCCTTGATTGACACGTATTTGCCTGGCATTGATGAGGAAGCCAGTGAGGAATCTCTCCTGACCCCCACGTCTCCGTATCCGCCGGCGGTGCAGAGCCAGCTCAGCATCACCGCCAACCTCAACCTCTCCAACTCCATGACCTCACTGGCCACTTCCCAGCACTCCCCAGGTCAGTGGCTGCTCTGGTACCACCTGGGTGAGGGAAGTGTGGGAATTTCAGGGGTGGGAGCCAAGCACTCTGTTGGCTCTTTGGGTGTGTTTGTGCACCAAACATCGGCGCCTTCCAGAGTGAAGTGAATATTAAACTGTTCCTGAGCTCTTACCCCAGTTCAGATGCTGGATTTTATCCAGCACAAAAGCTGTCTCCCAGGTCACTCCACATGAAGGGAAGAGCATTAAGAGCATCAGAACAGACAGCAGCTCCATCTTCATGTGGAACATGTGCAGCAGTGAGGGCTTGGAAAGGAATAAATGTAAATATGTAATCATGCAATTTGCAAGGAGGAAATGCTGATCCAGGCACTGCAAGGTATGTTGGGAAAAATAATTCCTAAGTGTGCCATGCAGAGTGTGCCTGGGCTGCCAAAGCTCCAGCTGGCTGTGTGGTCCGAGGCCAGTGCCCACACAGCAGCAAAGGGGTTGGACTCTGCCTCCAAGGAGGAAAGGAGTTCATGTGGATACGTGAGGAAGGGTCAGCTCAGAATGCTGGACTGCCAGAAATATGCTGATGGCAAAGTGAGGTGTGCAGGAAAAGAACAGTCATCCAAGGCAGTAAATGGATAAAAACACTCAAACTCCTGGCAAGGGGAGAAGGGAATTGCAGGGGAATGCAGAGGTGAATTTAACAGCAAAGGTTTGCAGGGGGTACATGAGTGAAGAGTAAAAATCACTCAGTAGAGCAGCATAAGGTGGAAGAAATTAAATATAGGAAGAAGATGGAATTTATGTCAAAGAAATCTGCGTGAAGACTCTTCCTGAAGTGAATTTGGAGGGGTGGTTCTTATATGGGGGAAATCTTTTCTTTGTTATAAAAATTACACTGTGGGATATTTCTTAAGGGATGATCTAGCTGCTGCAGTTCTTAATACACAGTTCAACCAACTTTTATTTCTACTTCATTTCTAAGCCCAATGGAAGGCCTTGGATTGAGGTGTTTTGGGTTTTTTCACTCTCTTGCTCCCTGGTTTCTGCTCCCTGCACTGAGCCCTGCTGGGCTGGGCTTGGCTCTGTGCAGGAATCTGCCCTTCCAGGGGCTCCCCTGGCTCTGGACACTGGGCTGGTTTGGGATCAGGGTGCAGAGGTGCAGCAGGGGGAAGACAGGGCTCTGTTTGAATGATTTGGGAATGGGGATTTCTTTGGGAACAGACCTTGCTGTCAGTGTGGAACAAGGACATTCTGGGCAGCATCTTTCTGTTTAGGACATGGGTGGCAGCTCCAGCAGTTCATTTCCAAGGGTCAGGTGATGGTGCAGGACTGGGCTCTCTGGGAGGGAAAGAAGCATTTTGCTCTGTAAATGTCCTCCTTCCTTCTGCCCCACTTTCTGTTCCCTATCCCTTTGCAAGCTGAGAGGAAGGAATTAATCCAGCCTGTCAGACATTCCTTCCAAGTGCTCTGCAAACAGATGGCTTTTGTCAAAGGCTGGTTAAGAGTCTCCACAAAGAGAGTTGAGAACCAGGGAACTTGTTCAGGTTAATAGTGAGTCTGAAATGACACACTGATGACACACACAGTGCACTGTTTGCTTGAAATTAAATGTAAAACACCAGTGTGAAAGCAGCACCGAGTTCCCTCACCACAGTGAGTCAAAGAAACACTTTCAGCCAAGTGAGTTTTTGATTATGGTTACAAAAAGTTGCAAATACATGAAAAATTAATTTCTTGCATCTGGAAACAACCAGGCGAGATCACTGTTTATAAATGTTTTGTCTGTCACCATCTCTGCTCCTTCCCCTCCCCTTCCCCGTCTCATGGACATTATTCACTTACGTTTATTTCTTTCATTCTGTGTCTGTGAAGCTTCTCTGCCTTGCTCTAAGTCTGCAGTTTTCATGCAGCTGCCTCATCCAGGTACTCTCTTCTTTCATCATATTTGCACGAAATGCTGCTTGAGCTGTGTGAGGGTCGGGCTGTGGCATGAGGAGCAGTTCCTGACACGGGAATGGCTTCGGCGAGCGCTAAACTGGGGCACTTCCTGGGGGTAGAGCAGATAAAGAGCCACTCACGGCCTCAAGAATAAATCTGGCAACAGAGAGGTGGATGCTTGGTATGGAAGTCACTGTGCTGCTCGTGTGGAGCTCAACTGAAGCAGTGTTTGGTGTGAGCTCTTTAGATTTACCAGGAGTCAGCTCTAACCCCAGTGACTCCCCAGCAGACAGAGTTCTCTGGGCTGAGCTGCAGCAGACAGAGGTGCAGTGGATCAGGAGCTCCACACCACTGCACTTATGCTTTGTATGGAGAACCAAGGGAAAGCTGCAGAGGAGGGTTTTTGCTCACACCGTGGGTTGTTCCCGTCCTCAGCGTAGTTTGGGGTTTGTGCTGCTGCCCACGCAGGAGAGGAAGGTGCAGCCTGCAGCAGCCTCTGCTGGAGCCTCACACTGTTGCTGTGCCACGTGTGGAGGGTGTTCTTTGTTCTCATTAATGCCACTGACAATCACTTTCTTGTATGTCATTGTGGAGATGTCACAGTAACAGGATTTTGTTCTAACTTTTGTATTCGCTGTCAGACATCCTAATTTTTGCTGCTGATCGTACTTGTAGCCTCTTGCCTAAAACCACCCGTCCTGCTCCTCGTTCCTGTGCTGACCCTGCCGTGGGTGTGAGGGTGTTAAACACTCATCAAACAGTCACACCGTGACAGCTGCTGAGCCACTGCTGCAGGGCTGATGAACTCACAGCAGAGGCAGCAGGAACAGCTGATTGGGAGCAGGTCTGCACTAAACACAGCTCTTGGCTTCTGGGGCTTCAAGTGCGGGTGCCCGAGGCTGTGACGGCTCTCACGGCAGGTTTGGGGTGTTGTCATCGTGTCAGCACCAAGTTTACACTAAAGCAGTTCATTTCTGGAGTTTGTTTGATGTGAGACTTTTAGCAAACCACAATAGTTACCTTGTCCTGCAGAGAACACCTGAAGCTTCTCAGAAAGGTGTAAGTTGTGTCCTCAGAAAGGGCACAAACCTCGGCCTGTCCCCCACAGGCCTCTTCCTGCCACTGGTGGGGCTGAACTTGGGCAATAGCAGTTCTTGTGAGGAGTCCCAGTCTGACCTGCTCTGTGCCTGTTTCCTGTTAATACCCTCCGTACAAAACTGTTTCTTTACTTGTTAAAAGTCAATTTGATGGTTGGATTCGATCTTAAAGGTCTTTTCCAACCTTAACGATTCTGTGAGTCTATGATCTGTTTTTACTGACAGTTTGCTGGGGTTTGAATCATTACAGTTGGTGTCTGCACTTGACACCTAGCTGTTCAGGTGAACCTCTGCATGGGCTCTGTTCCTGCTGAGTGCAGCATGAACTGAGCCCTTCACTCTCCTGGTACTGAGACAGAGTCCTCTGAATGCTGATCTGCACCTTACGTGCTTTTACTGAGCTTGTCTGTGAGCCAGGATTCAGAGTTGAGGGGAAGGGTGGGTACCTGAATACACAAATCTTCTCTGATAGCAAGAATCAGCCTCTGCCACTGCAGCAGAATCCGGTGGGTTCAGAAATGAACCTTCCTCTCCCTGCTGTGCCCCGTTCCACAGCAGCCATTGATTTTTGGCTGGAGGAAGCCCGTAAGTTTGACCGTGTCAGCCCTTCCTCCTGGAGGATGCCAAAGCAAGGCTGGAGTGCAGCTCACTGGTTCAGAGTTCTCCCAGCACTCCTGCCCGGGCTGCCCGCGGGGACAGAGCAGTGCCTTTGCTTCTCTGCCTCGTCCTCACCGAGCCAGACGTGTGGTTTTCATCAGACACACAAGATTTCCTGCTTTTCCTCTCCCTTTGCCTCCGCCGGCCCCAGGGGCTGCAGGCGGGGGGGGAGGGAGGGAGCAGCTCTGTGGCCCTGACCTGCCCGTGGGTGCCAGGCAGGACTCAGCGCGGGCCTCGTCTTTCCACAGGGATCGACAAGGAGAACGTGGAGCTCTCGCCCACGGCCGGCCACGCCAACAGCGGGAGGATGCGCCACGGCTCCGCCAGCCAAGTGCAGAAGCAGCGAAGCGCCGGCAGCTTCAAGCGTCACAGCATCAAAAAGATCGTGTGATTGTTGCTTTTTAATTTTATTTTCTATCTTTGGACCCGACTGACACGCCGGCCCCTCGCGGAGGGCCCCGCGCCGGGTGTGATGCTGCACTTGATTTGTACAGTTCCCATCCCGTCGGCCGCGTGGCCAGATGATCAATTCCTGACCCATAGCCCGAGTTAACGCCTTCATCCCTCCCTTCTCTTTGGTTTGAGTGTTCCAGAGCTGCGCGGATCCCGAGGGAGGTCTGGAGTGCTGTGACGCTGCAGAGCCGCGTCTCGTCCAAATCCAAAGCCATTTCCCGAAACAGCCCCGCTGTGCACCTGCTCTGGCCTCGGGTGTTCCTGCTCTAAAGGGAAGTGTTGATCCTTAACCCTCTTTGCACACCTCAAGGTAGTGGCTTCCTGAGCCAGGGAAGTTTCTCTAATCCTGGTTTTAATCCAAACGTGTAAGATTTTAGCTGTGGACTTTTTTTTACCATACTGAAAAGAAACTCACGATAGCCACAGTACAATGAGCTTAACAGAAGTGGTGGATTAGGTTAAATTTCAGGTCATTAGCAATAAATGGGAGAGGAAAAGGAGGCTGCAGGAACCCCTCATTCCCCAGCTTCACACACTTGGACTGTACATGGACCAGACTGGACAAACTGGCTTTTTTCCCCAACCTTTTTTTTTTTTTTTCTTTCTGTACTTTACTGCCCTGGGGAGGGTGGTACAGGGGGAAACCCCCGGGAGCTGCCCCTCGGGCTGTCGTTGTAGCACTGCGGGGAGTTATTGCCTCTTCCTTCCGCTGAACACGCGCTCGAGCGTTTTGGTTCTGCCCTTCCCGACAGAGCTCCCTGCAGAGCAGCCAGGGGGGATGGAGGGGTGGATTCTCCTGGCTCTGGGGAATGGTGTGTGGCAAAGCTGCCCCTGTGCTGCCCAGGCAGGCGCAGCAACAGCCCCGTCTGCTCGAGGTACACGAACTGAAGGGAGCTGACACTGTAGGATCGGTCCCAGGGCAGGGCCGGGGCTGCCCCTCTGTCCGCGGGACCCCCGGGGCGGGTTCGGGGTCCTGCAGGGGTTCCAGGAACTGAAGGTGCTGCCTTTGGTCACTGCCAGGCTCTGGTGACAGCGCTGGGGACGTGCTGCTGTGCGAGGAGGAGGCGGGAGCTGGGGCAGGGTGTCCCTGGGGGCTCACGCAGCTCCTGCTCAGGAACAATTCCGCTTCCCAGTTTCTTATCCCTGTGCTGTGGTAGGAATCAACAATCCTTTGGTGGCTTTAAAGGAAAAAAAAACCTATCCACTAGGTAAAAGCCAATCCTCCAGTGCAATCATTAATGGCTTTCAGTAAATCAAACTCCACAGCTAAATTATTAGAGAATGGTACAATTAAGGGTTCCGATTTTATTGCTATAGCACACAATTCCCATGTATCCACACCATAACAATGTAACATTTATGTAAATAAAAATACCTTTATTGTATTGATTCATAAAATAACAATTTCTTTAATTTGTTTACAGTCCTGGAAAAGCTATGAACACAAACTTCATATGCAAATAGTTTGTTTGCCAAAACAAGAGGAAGACTTAGGATTAGCAGTCTTGGAATAAACACATTAGAAAAATGAAGTGGTGCAATTAACCCAATCCCTTCACTCGGGGTGGTGCAGGTGCTGCAGCAGGAATGTGGTCACTGGGGACACGGAGCGGGGTGTGAGCGGGGCCTGAGGCTGAGCCTCGGGGTCCCCAGGTTAGAAACTGTTGTCATCTCACACCTCAGATTGGGAGGAGCCACCCCTGGTGTCACTGTGGTTTGCACGGGGTTGTACCCAATGGAGCTGGGTCCAGCCCTTCCCCTTTTGCTGAAGACAAGGAACTGTAGAAGCCTGAGGATTTGTAGGTAGGAGGAAAACAAGAATCTCTTGTAAAGGTGATTTGCTGTTTTCAGTTGTTTCTCCTACAAGCAGGTTTCCTGTAAAGAGGAACAGGAATTCCAGAGGAACTGCCCAACCGGTTTTGCTTGGGCAGAGAGGAAACCCTTCACTGTTCTGCATTGCCACATCAAAAGTGTCCCTCCTTCAGAACTGCTGCGTTCTCTGCAGCACAGAGGATGTGAGAGCACAGGGGACAGTGATGAAAATCACCCTCCCTGGGGAACTGCTCCAAGCTCTCAGTCCCAGCTAAAAATCTGGTCTCTTCATAAAGTCAATGAACAAAATCTAATTTCCTCTTTCCTGGAAGGAGGGAGTTGGTTGGAGGTTCCCCTGTGTGAGAGGGCCTGGACTCTGGCTGAGCAGGGATGTCAGACTCCTGTGTCAGGTAGTGGGGGTGGAATTGGGGTGTAAGGACAGCTGATGGCCAAGGTTTAATTTGGGATCGTGTGTGCCCCGATATGCAGGAACGTTGTCTTGTACTGGTTGTTGGGAAGCTCGTGCTTGGCTTACAGGGAAGCACGGCCTCTGTGTAATGATTAAACTCCAATCAGTAATTAGTCGTTGAGTGCCTTACTGTCTCTCCATTGCTCCCCTGCTCCCTCCAGCAGCCACTGCTGGGACTTTGCCTGTTTTTCTTTCTCACGTCCTCCTTCCTTTGTTCTTTCCCTGTCTGAGCACTCTCCCTCCTGCCCCATTCCAGCCTGGGCTGCTCGACCGTGCTGCTCGACCGTGCTGCCGGTGAGCAGCAGTTGTTGCAGGTGACACTGCGGGTCTGAGGGCAGCAGTTGTTGCAGGTGACACTGTGGGTCTGAGGGCAGCAGTTGTTGCAGGTGACACTGTGGGTCTGAGGGCAGCAGTTGTTGCAGGTGGCACTGCGGGTCTGAGGGCAGCAGTTGTTGCAGGTGACACTGTGGGTCTGAGGGCAGCAGTTGTTGCAGGTGGCACTGTGGGTCTGAGCCCTGGCCCCGGGCAGCCCACGGGCCACCGGCAGTGGCTGCAGCTCCAGTCCCTGCTGCAGGGCTGGAGCTGCAGCCCCGGAGTCCCCGTGCTTTGACATGGAAACTTTAGATGCAGAAAAATCCCACCAGGAACACGTGGACCACGTAACACCCTCGCGGGGATCGTGTGCGACACCCCTGGCTCAGAGCCCGTTCCCACCCCACACTGACCACAGCTCAGTACTGTAAAGACAATTAACATTCTGTTTGTGTTGATATTTTCCCTGACTTAAAGATAACTCAGTAGTATTTGAATAGTGCATAACCTACCTGTAATGATGCCGATGTTTCTGCTTTAGCGTGCATGAGGTTCCCCAGACAGGGAACGTTTCACTAAGTCTCGTGGGCCGAGCCCCTGGCCCGTGCCAGGGCTCGCTCCGACCCGGGTTGTAGGTTTTAGGGCTTTTTCTGTTTCATTCTAAGGTTAATTTCTATCAGTGTCATGAAGCACGTCCTACTGTTATGCAACAAACCACAGACAGTCACTCGGAGTGTTGGTCCCACCTTTTTTTTTTATGCAGTATATTCACCTGTAAATAATTTTTGTGTAAAATTTGACAGAAAAGTATATTTACTACACTGTAAATACATGTGACAATATATTGTATTATTTTGCTTTTTTTGTAAAGCAGTTAGTTGCTGTATATGTATAACATATAAATTTGATTATTCTAGTGTTAGTAACTGTTAACTCCTCCTCCTCCCTGTTGCTGGAAGCAGAAGTTGTGTCCCACACGCTCACCCTGGGTGTGGTCTCACTGCTCTCCCGGCCCCTCGGGGCGCTGGAGTGTGAGCCTGGCCCTGCACCGGGGGAGCTGAGGGTCAGAATGGTGGAAACCTGGTTTCAGATAATTATTGTTCACCCACTCTCCCCTCATGTATGTACTTTCCCTTTTTTTTGAAGTAAAATGTAAATTGAACCTGCTCCCAGTTGTTTGAAGGTCATTCCCGGGGGCTGTGGCGTGAAGGTGGTGGATGCTGACATCCCTGCTCTGCTGGGACAGTGAGTTTGGGTGGGTTCTTTGGGGCTGAACCAAGGGATCCAGCCCAGTCCCAGACCCAAGAGCCCACTTCTTCTGGGGAAAATTAGAACCAAGTTGAAATGCAGTGTCTGGAGGTTTGTCTTCCCAGACTGGTGCTGCTCTGGGTGTGGGAACTGCACAGATCTAAGTAATGGAAAACCCAATTGCCTGTGGTGACTGAGGACAGAATAAAGCCCATTGTCATGAATTTCATGTCACTTCAATAAGATTATCATAACTGAATAATAAATCAGAATACTTCTTTTTAAAATGTAAATTTAATATTGTAATAAAACAGCTGCTTGGTCTTTAAAGAACAATTCAGCATAATTTGTCTATTTGAGCTTTTCTAGCTTAGAAGCTTGAGGTTTCAGCTGTCAGACAACTTCTATGACAAGTGATTAATCATACCTATTTTTCTTTTAGGGGGATACATTACTTTCCCATTAAAAATGTATAAGTACTTATGTTCTGGCTTTGTGAATCGTAAAAGGATGTAAAGACACATTAAAGTGTGACTGCATTGACTTCTTCTGAGACATCTTATTGTTGCTGCACAGGGAGCGGACAGACAGACCTGCAGACACCTGGCCAGGTGATTCCTGCCGTGCTCCTGGCGCCAGCTGGGGCTGCCCGAGTGGAGGAGCAGCAGTTTGGGAACTGTTCCACTTCAGGAGCACATTTTCTTCCCTTTAGAAGAAATTTTCATTAGTCCTAAGCTGGAGCTCCGGTGGGAGCCGACTCCTGAGCAGCACCTGCCCAACCACTGCTGCCAAAAACATTCCTAAAACAGGGTCCTCTTTTGGACAGTGGAGCCTCCCTGCTGCTTGAGATCACAGACACACCGTAGCCACAGGGATGAAATGAAAGAGTTTCACTGCAGTCATGTCTTTATGCAGTTGGAAAAACTATACTTAGGGGAAGATTGTACCCTTGGAGCAGGCAGTTCTGTCTAAAGAAATAGCTTCAAAATCCCTGCCCAGCTGCTGATAAAATATTTTACAATGGAAAATAATAATGTAAAAATGCACTGATGTGGGGATAGAAATTCTGTTAATGAGCTAAGAACTCTTTTACAAAGAGGAAGAGAAAGGAAGTTGTTAATCACAAGCAGTAAGTCTGACCCATAATATGAGTGGCTCATTCCTAAATATTAAGCTGTCTCTGGCATAAATATTTCCAAATAACCTCTGACTTGGAATAACGAGTTTTCATATTTTAGATAGCCCAAAATTTACACTAGATTTGTAATTCCCTTAATAGGAGACTTCCTTAAGCATGCTGAAAAGCTGCAAACAAACAAGCAGAGACATTAAAATTAAAGCCCTTTCCTGTCCTTGCTGCCTGTTCCTGTTCCTGGCTGACCCCAGGATGGCTCAGAGCTGTCCCTGTCAGGGGTGAGATGGGTGAAATCTGGTCCCTTAGGCCTTACCATAGGAGCAGATTCTGCTGCACTGGTCACTTCTGCCATTGTCAAGTGCTTTTTATTGTCTGTCCTCCCCTTAGGCCCCTCTGTGTGGGGCAGGGACAGCACACCTGAGCCTGAACAGTTCTAAGGGGATGGGTCAGGTGGTGTCACAGAACAGCCAAAGCCACCCTCCTGCAGCTGGGCAGTGCTCCCAACAGTCCCTTGCAGAGCAGCCACGGCCTTTCCCACTGCTGGAGTTGGGATTTCCAGGTGTGAATCCTTTGTGCCCTGGAACAGAGGCTCCCCTTGACTGCTCCTCTGTTCAACAAGCTCTCAAATGAAAATCACTCCCAGGGTTGTGTGGGTGGAGAGTGTAGAATAACATCTCCCCTGGTGTGACTTGTTCAAACAAGTATGGGTTTGTTCTTCAAAGGAATCGTGAAAGAACCTCTGATGACGGCATCTTTCGGGATATTCAGATGACAGCACTATAAATAGCCAGGAGTAACTACTTGCTCAAGAAAATCCCACTGAACTATTAAATTGTATTTTAATTTTTTTTCTCATAGCGTGCTGTCCTTCAGGGAAACTAGAAATATCTGTTCTGCTGCTCCCATCCCCAGCCAGGGACTGGGAGAGCGAGGTCTGCCCGGGAGAGCCGGGTGTGCAGAGGACACGGCACATGCACTGAAGAACTGCTGGCCCAGCCCCCTCCTCCTCCTCCTCGGGCTGTGAGGACACAGGTAAATGAAATGGCCAGGTCCAGAAGGGGGAGGTCAGGGACAGACCTGACTGGGAGCGAGTTTTCCAAGCTCTAGTTACCAACTCTGCTCCCTGTTCAAGGTGTAAGATGCCAGGCAGGGGGGCAATGGGTGCCTCTGTCTCACCTGCTCTTGGCTCCATTCCCTTGACTTGTTTTCCATGAAGTTCTTCCCCTTGCTGTCTGTGCTCCCCAGCTCCTGCACCATGTGAATGGGCACAGCTGTACCTGCCCCTGGGACTCCCACAAAGAACTCGAGATGCTGACAGGCCTTACCTCTTCCTTTCTCCTTTTACTTTGTGTGGTGCCAGTTTTTCTTGCCGGGAACACTTGCTTGTTCAATCCTCGTGAAAATGGAACAGGCAGGCTGGAAAGCTGTTCCCCACTCATGGAAACTCCAGAGACACGAACTGGTTGTATCAGGAGAAGGTGACCTGTCCCACAGGGAAGCAGTTACTCTGTTAGCAGGGTTTGGTTTATTTACAAGCAGTGATTTGATCTTTACTCCACAGCAGATGTTTCTCTGGTCACTGCAGTGGAGCTCGTGGCCTCGGGCTGCCATAAGAGCTCAGCCAGGCACTGCCACAGCGCAGGACACGCATCTGTCCCGGGAGCATCACCATTTGTGGTCCCCGTGTGTGACAGACGCGGGCTGTGGCCGTGACCTTGGACAGATCTGAACATCTGTCCACCAGGCATCGTAAACGCCACGATTGCCCAACGGTCACAGCCAAGGGTGGCTGTCAGTTGGGAATTCTTAACGGACAAACTGCTGAGATCCTCAGGTTAATGGCATTAAAAGGGCAAAGTCTCAGCACCAATGGATTTTCCCGCCTCGAGTGTGGCACGATTTGTAGTCTTTAGGAGGGCATTTATTATTAATTCCTGACTGCTCTAAACAAAGACTGAGGCGAATCAGAAACTTTTCAGAGAAAAATACTTGGACAAATCAGTGATTTAGGAAGGACAATCCCACTGAAACACAACTGTAATTTCTCCAAGTTACTCATTTACACTCCCACATACCAACCGCCTGCTGCAGACACGTGTAAATAAACAACTGGCAGGTTTGCCCCCAGCCAACCTCCCCTGTGTCCCAGAGTGAGGGCGTTTCCAGCAGGTTTCTGCAGCATTACCTGGTGCAGAGTGTGCTGCCCACAGCCAGCTGGGCTCCTGGGAACAGCAGGCTGAGACTTGGGCACTGGAAACAGAGGAGGCTGATTGGGGAATAATCTGTCTAGATGAAAAGGAAGCTCAGGCTTTCAAGCTGGCAGGAGGCTTGAAGTGTTTTCCTGCACTGTTGCAGCTCCCACTGGATGCCCCCAGGAATAGCTCTGGTTTATAACTCACTCTTGCTCTGCTGCTCCCTGTTCCTGCCCCAGGGCAGGCTTGCATGAGCCGCCTCTCCCCGGCCTGTTTCTTCCCTCTGACTTTGCCACCGAGTTTCCCAAAGATACAAAGGCAGCCTGAGTTGTTCCACGGGGAAATGCAGAGGCAGCTGTTCCCACACAGCCAGGCCCAGTGCCAAACCCAGAGCAGTTTCCTCAGGACCCCGAGCACTGCAGTGTCCCGGTGCCCCCTGAGCTGCCCGGCAGCGCGGGAAGGAGCAGCACCCAGAAAGCCGGGCTCCTGGCACGCCGGGTGTGTCCATGCAGCTGTGCTGGACTGCAGGGAGGATTCCTCCTCGGAACAGCGGCAGCGCTTTCCCAGAGTCTCCCCCAAGTGCCCTGCCCGGGATCCGCACTCACACGCTGTGCCAGCGCTTCTTTGCTCTGCATCCCCCAAACCTCAGGCGTTCCTCGGGACACAGGAATCATTTACATACACTGGATATTCTTTCAAGGATGCCAAAAGCCCTGGGGGGAAATGTCGCAAGTATTAAACAATAACGTGAAAAGTCTCCATTAGTCCTGACTTGGTGCTGCTGCAGCCAAGCTGTGACCTGGTCTGAACGCAGGTCGGCATTTCTCGTTGTGGTTCAGCCCTGCAGCCCCGATCGCGCGGTGCCGGTGCCGGCAGATAGGTGTGCCCGGCACCCAGCCCGCGTGTGTAACCCCTGCCTAAAGCTCGGGTTCACTGCTGGGCTGCACCCTGGGTGCCCCGGCCCGGGCCCCAGCGCCGGCTGCCCGAGAGCACCGCGGGACGGGGGGACCCTGCCCGAGTGCGGCCACAGGAGCGATCCCGGGGCCGGGAAGGGTCCCGTTCCCTCAGGAGCGATCCCGAGGCCGGGAACGGTCCCGTTCCCCTCAGGAGCGATGCCGGGGCTGGGAACGGTGCCGTTCCCCTCAGGCCGGGAAGGGTCCCGTTCCCCTCAGGTGGCCGCCGGGCCGGGCGGGGCCGCGCGCGCGGGCGGCTCTCGCGGGACGCGGCGCTCTCGCGAGAGGGGCGGGCCGGGGCGGGGCGGGGTCGCTGCATGTCCGAGCCGGCGGCCCGGCCGGGCGGCACGTGGGGCTGGGCCAGCACCGGGACCCCGGGACAGCGGGACACGGGGACACCGGGACACGGGAACACCGGGACACGGAAACACCGGGACACGGGAACACCGGGAACACCGGGAACACCGGGACACCGGGAACACCGGCACCGCCGCCCGTGAGTACCGCCCGTGGGGACCGCCGCGGGGCCGCGCCGCGCGTCCGCCCGGGCTCCGGGGCCTCACGGAGGAGCGGCCGCGCCGCGCTGCCCCCGCCGGTGCTGCCCTGCCCTGCCCTGCCCGTGCTCCCCGCGGCGGGAGCGGCCCCGCACGGCCCAAGGTCAGCGCCCGGCCCTGCGCGGTGCCCGGCGGTGGCGGGGCCGGGGGCCGGGGCGGGTCGTGCCGCGGGCACGGCTCGGGCTGTGCCGGTGCCGCCGCTCGGGGCCCAGTGCGGGGCAGGGTGCGGGGCAGGGTGCGGGGCAGGGTGCGGGGGGCGAGCGGCACTGCTGAGCCTGGCGGTGGTTCGTGTGTTTGACCCTCCCGGCCCCGCCGTGGCCGCCCCGTGAGGCCGGGGCTGGCTCGGGCGGTGCAGGCTGAGGCAGCCCGTGTTGTCTGCCGTGAGTCTGGTCCGGCCAGCCTCGCCTGTGTTATGGTAATGGCCGTAAAAACTGTTATTAGCAAACTTATAATGCATTGCTGTGACTCCTTTTGTTTGTAAGCCAGCCTGGAACACAGTCAGGAGCAAAGGAATTAAATTGTGTTGCTACTGAGGAAGTGATGTTTGGAGAGCCTTGCTTTCCTGGGAGAATCCTTGTTGTTCGACTTGTTTTGTTCTTTTGTTTTTCCTTCTCCTTCCTCCTTGAAGCCAGTGAGATCTGAGTTACTCGTGTTCCAGAACTGGGCAGTCTGCTCTGTGCTTGCCACGTTCTGTATCATCGCAATCCAT